TAAACAGACAACTTATATAAGTAATATAATAATAGGCAATCAACAAAATTACCTAAAAGTAAATGAGGAAGATAAAGATTAGGATGATGATGAGAATGATGATAAAGATGAGAATCATCTTCTTCCTCTTTCTCAAGGGAGGATGAGGGAAGATTTCGATTCGAATTTTCGATTTTCTTTTCTTTTCTCTTCTTCTTCTATTCTGTTCTATTATATTCGCATTTCTTTAACCAACCTTGATTCCGTTTACTAGGCTTTCATTTTATTAACCCATTTAACCCTCAGCATCGTCTAAGCGTAACCATGGTTACCATTTGATATTATCATCCATTCCCTGTAACCAAAGTTAAAATGCTATAATAACATATACTTATTGATGATAATATAGCTGATATAAAGGAAGATGATAATCATTTATGAAAATGATGATTATCAGATTTAGTAATTTAATATTATCTTCATCTTTACTATAAGAGGAAACGGAAATGGAAACTTTTTCATCCTTCTTCTCATTATAATCATCTGATGATCTTCACATGATAATATTTGATCATCATATTAAATTGCCTTAAGGTTAAGTAATTATGTAATCAAAGTATAATTGTAACTTAATTTTTCTAATTAAATTTAATCCAATGATGTTCATGTTTAAAGGGTAATCAAGTTTAAGATTTTTAATTTAATTTCACCATTTGAACATTTCGAGTAACAGTAATTACGAAAGGGTAATTCTGATAATTGGTAATTACTTAATTGTTGGTAATGGTGGTGGTTAGATGATTATCATTAGAGTAGTGGAAAAAAATGAAACTAATTAATGGTGAATTTAGTTTTAATCTTCTTCTCAATTGTAACAATTAACTTCTCATATCATGAAAATCTAATTATAACTTTTTCGTTAATCAGTAAAAAATATCTCGTTTTAAATTTAATTTTATCAGGTTATCACTAATTAACTGACCGTTTTGTTGATGAAGGTCAAGTTAACAGGTAATTAACGTTGAAACGTTTTAATCATAATCATAATCATAATCATAAGCCATTAATTGCCACAATTAACTTTCCAAACCAATTGTTACACTTGATTATTATTACTACAATGTGATACTTTTTGTTGCTTGTTGTCAAAATTTAAATTTTCCAGAATAAATTGTAATTAATTAACTACAAACAACAATTTAAGATACTGTCTCGTCTTAATTTGTTGTCTTTTTTTTAGTTAAATTGTTACCTTAATTATAATTTTCACCATAATTGTTGTCAAGAAATTAAGATTAATATGGGAAAAGGTTAAACAAATTAGATGATTATCTTAACTTTTTTGCTTGGAAATTAAATTTAATTGGTAAAACAATTTAACTTTTTGATTCTTTGATTAGAAAACAACGGAAGAGATTAAGGTAAACAGTGATTAAGGATTAACAATCAGTGGCATATAAGTTGACTAATTAACATCTTTCATCAGCAATTAACTTTATGAAAATTGTCAAAAGCCAATTTCTTAAACTTAAACCCAAACAATTAACTGAAACACTTTAAGACAATTTATAATTTGAACACATTAAAAGTTAACAATTTAATAAACATGATTAACAACAAAAACCTAACCTTGATTGTTGTTGCTGGTTAATCATAATTACTGGAAATGAAAATCATAACTAAATTAAGTTATTATCATTATATTATGATTAAGGAAATAATTTCAATCTAATCAATCTCAATAAAAGATACACTTAAAAGCCAAACTTGAAAGTTAATTGTGATTTAGTTAAATTAAATTGTTTGTTTATATTTATATTCAATTTGATTGACATATTCACAGCATGATGATTAATTGGTTGTAAAAAAAATGTATCGTTGATTGTTGATTGTTAACCTTTAACTAAATTAACTTAAATCATTTGTTTATTTTCAACCATTTAAATTGTAAAAACCGTAACAATTTAAAATGAATGATTAAATTGTGATTATATTAATAAACTTATACAACTATTTGATTTGTTACAAATTAATTCTGATAATTAGAAATGAACATAATTATAATATCATTTACAGGTAACAATTTAATTTAATTTTTGTTTCCCCGTAATTAAATGTAACTTTTAATCATCATCAATCAAAATGATCAACAAACAGCAAATTTACAAATTATGATTCAAGATGAAACCAAAAACTTAAATTAAATTAAGTTAATCAAAGTAACAGTTAAATTGTAATTGAAAAGATTTGATTGATTTAGAGAGTCACAAACAAACAGGATGATTAACTATCAATGATTTAATTTGATTAACACATACAATTAAACATGAACAATTAAGTTAATCAATGAAGCAAACAAATGAAAATAACAAAATCTCAATATTAAGTTAATGTATGATCGCAACTGTTAATTGTTTACAATTAATCGTTGACGATAAACTAATGGTAATTCATTAATATACTTTGATGTATAAATGAAATTAACTTTCCAGTTAATTGCTAATTGTATTGATAGATAAGAGTAACAATCAAATTTGATTATTATTAAAAAAAATGAACGAAAAATAAAAAATTATCATATTCAATTTACCGCCAACCGGGAAAAGTTAACATTGAATAAAGTTAATTGTTGCTATATTGTTAGCAAGTGTTTCCACAATCTAATGAGCATGGTAATCATAATGTTAATCATGATTAACTTGATGATGATAATGTTCACAACAGGGAATCGTTATTATCATCATTGGGTTAAATTTAATTCTTATTGATGATCAACAATCAAAAGTTGATGATTATTATTTTCAAAGTATTAATATAAACAAAGATTATCAAAGGGAAACCATTAGAATCCATCATTTTGTTTGTCTCTCATTGTTAATCATTAATTTGATGATTTAGTGGGTGGGTTGTTGATTATATCTTATTATTTGGTGAGGTGGTGATGATAGGTTAATCAGTTAGTTGATTATAATTTAGTTCGTAATGATTAACTTTGATTACGATTGATTAACAGGAAACCAAATCAACTGAAAATCTGTAGGATGAGATGAGGATAAAAACAAATGATTCCAATTGTTTATTAAACTTTTTTTTGCTTCCATATTGTTGATTGTTAATCGTTTGGTTGATTAATTTGAATTTACAATTTTGATTAATTCTAGTGATTAATACTGATGATTGTTACCTTGATTGATTATGCGACTCTCATGTTGATACAATTAAATTAGTCTACAATCACAATAACAATCAAAGATCAAGCTGAGAATTTGTTTTCTTTTTCTGTAAGGTAACAATTAACTTTTTTTCTTTCGTTCTCTTTGATTGCAATCAATTTAATTTTCGATCAATTATTGATTCTAATGATAATCATCATTATCATCATCATAATCATCTTGATTTACTCTCTATGGGGTTGGTCAGTTATTTTACTTTTTTTATCAACTTTTCCAATCTTGACCATTTAGTTTGACCATCGAGTGTCAATGATAAAGGGATAATAATAATATCATTTCTAGTTGATTGGTGTTGATCAGTAGATTTATATATATATATACAAATATAATCATCTGTCCTTCCGTAATCAACTGACCACTGTCAATCAAAATGACAATTAAACCAGTGACCACAACAATAACCAGATTAACTTGACCAATACAAACTTGGCTAATCCTTTGCTACTTTACAAAAAGTTATCAATTTATTTGATACTTTTTTTCATGTTTAACAAAACGCGAAAAACTAAATTAACAAAAACTTAATCATCTTGTTTATTTTAACAATCAGATCAATCGTCATCATCAGTTAATCATAATCACTAATCAATAATAAACTTATTGTTACAATTTGGGACAATACAATCAAATTTAAAACTTAATCAAAGGTGATTAAAATATTCATAAAGTTTTCTGGTTGGATTATATTATCTTGTTGTTGTTGTTTATTGTTAAATGATTAGTTGATTGTTCATTTGTTGGTGCTGTTAAAGTAAACAATTTAAATTGTTACCAATTGAGAGGCGAAAGTGAAACCCTTTTATTATGTACATGTAATTATCGTTGTATGAATTAACAATCATGATCACAATCAATGTTAATTTAGTTCCTTTGGTTAATTCACCTCAGTGGGGACTCGAAATTTTTAGAGATTTAATTTTTTCATTTGATTGTTGCTCTTTTTTTTTGATTTTACTGGTCACCTTTGGTCACTATTGTTATTCTGGTGATGGACAAGTGGGTGGTTAGTTTGTTTAACAAATACTAGTGGTCATCATCATGTCAATGGTCAAAGGGTAAATTGATTTTTCGGTTTTTTTCCCTTTGATTAGAACTTTTTTTCTCTCTCTCTCTCTTTCTTTTTATGGGAATTTGATTCTATTATTGATTATTGGGTATCGAAGTTTAATTGTTAGACTATTTTTTTTAAAGAAAAAAACTTTCATTTCCTGTTTAATTTGATTGTGATCAGTTGATTAGTGATTGAAGTGTCCATTGATTAGACTCTTGTGATTGACAATTCATTTAGTACACTTGGATTAATCTTCTGTTCTGATTTACTGTTTGAATTTTTATTCAGTTCGACTTTTTTTTCTCGTTAGTTTTTAACTTTTTTTCTTCTTTGATTGTGATTAAATTTAATTGTCTACAATTAAATAGAGAGAATTTAAAAAACAAATTGGAAAACTTTTTTTTTCGAATACTCAATTTTTTTTCCATTCCATTCGATTTCCTCATGCAATTATCGTTTCCTCAAATTTTCAGTTTGCCTGTGATCATAATTTCATTGAAGATCTCGCATCAATTTGATTAGACTTAAAATCTATGGACAGTTAAATTGTTACGATGATTAAAGTTAATTGTCGAAGGTGTTGATCTACGTGCCGACATCTTCTGGGCGATAAAAACAACTCTCATTTTCTTTCTTTTTCTGCTCGTTAGATGTCACTAGTATCGGAGAATAGAAATGAACCAATCAGAGATTGACAAGTTCCTTTGATCTTTATTAGGATTTCAGTCTGAAAATTTTGATTTCTAATGAACGAGTTGATAGTTAATTGTAATTAATCTGACATTTTATTGGTGATTAATTTTAATTCTATTGTAGTTGTGATTACTGTTTGTCTATTGAAAATTGTGTTCACGTAATCAATTCTTAATTTGTTTCCATTTTCAATCTTTCAATTGAAGATTTTTTCTCTCCTTATTTCCTTGATTCTATTTTCAAGTGTCTTTTTTTTGTTCGGTGTTAATTAAACCGGCGATTAATTAATCATGGTCTCCATGATGGATATCACAATTAGTTTATTTCTTTTAGTCAATTCTTTTCTCATTCAGTCAGCTTCTTCTCTTAGACCTGGAGATTGTGAAGGTAAGTTTATTTAGCTGTTTATTTTTTGTCTTTTTTTGTCTTTTCTCATTTGTATACCGGTGTTGAGAATATTGAAGAATTAATTTTTTGTTCTCTTCTTTTTTGTTCTATTACAGTTTGTGTTGGTGTTGTAAATAAGCTTATTGAGCAACTTTCCAAAGAGGAGAAAAATGATCCAACCAAAATAGAAGTCAAACTTGAAGAATTTTGTGCATCTACAAAGAAATCCGAAAATCGTTTTGTAAGTATCCCTTTGCTCATCCTTGGAGACTCAAATTTTGTAGGCTACTTAGACTGTTGATCGGCTTGAACCTAAAGGAAATTATCTTTTATCCTAAATCACAAGTATTGGTGTTGATCATCGTTTCCGTGTTTACCATGATACTCATTGTGCTTAACCAGGGGTGTTGACCTTGGCTCATTTTGATTTTTGTTTACTGTTGCTTCCAATTCCTGTAACTTGGCTTACCCTTTCTCTCTCTCTCTCTCTACCTGTTATATTCTCATCTATCTTTAATGTTCAGGTCAATAATCTTGAATGAATTCCTTCTGAAGCGAAGGATTGTAAAAAAAAACTGTATATTCTACACTGGCTGGTTTTCCATGGTTGACAATCTCAAGAATCGAAATGACTTCATTTTCTTCCCTTTTGAATATAATCTATTACACTCACTAATCTTTTCTTTATTAATTCTTTTCTAATCTGATTGTATTTTCTTTTTATACTTATTTAGTGTTACTATATTGGAGCCTTGGAGGAATCTGCAACTAAAATTATCTCCGAATTGAGTAAACCATTGAGTTGGGGTCTTCCAGCTGAGAAAATCTGTGAGAAACTACACAAGAAAGATTCTCAAATTTGTGAACTTCGATACGAAAAGGTGATTGATTTAAACAACGTTGACCTAAAGAAACTTCGAGTTCGAGATTTAAAGAAAATACTTAACGATTGGGATGAAGTTTGTGAGGGCTGCATAGAAAAAGCTGAATTCATTAAACGGGTGGAACAACTTAAACCAAAATATACCAAACAAGAATTATGATGATAGCAATTAAATCTAATTAATATTATATACACTGATAATTATATAAAATCAAATTTTATAATAATAATTGTAATTTATTCCAAATTTCAAAGCAATCACAAAAGTTAAATACAATCGTCTCACTTTTTTTTCTCTTATTAGATTATTGTCTTCCTAAGAATTGACTAATTCTAATTGTAAAGTGAAATAAAATCTCTGAATTGTTACATCGAATTGGATTTAGATTAAACTGAGACGCGATCATCAGAATTTGACAAAAGCATTTGCGATTTTTTCTCGTCTTGATTATTTTTAATCAAATTGCGAACAAAAATCATTTCTGATATTCAATCACAATCAACATGAATCAAGGTGGAAGGTCACCAAGAAAACGCGTCCAGAATATCAAAGAATATTCTTCATGAGAATAATCTTCATGAGAGACTAAGCGATTCTGATTTATCACTCGAAATTTAATTGTCCAACTCATTCGTTATAATTAAACAAAAATTTCCTCTGAAAATATCAAAAAATTCACAATAAAGATTCACTAATTTCTTCATTCCATTTCTCAAATTACTCCGATTGTTTCGGATGCTAAAAGGGCGAATCGACAAATCCTCATATTAAAACCCTAATTAGCAATTAACTTAATTGCTGCGACAATACAAGTAATCGAAAATTCGGATTCTATCAATTTCGATTTTTCTCTTCCTAGGAAAGTTAATTGTGTTAATCGAATGTCTTGTAATTTAGATCCTTTTCTGATCGTCCGATATTAATTTCGCTCGAAGAGATCGTGATTATGACCTTTAAATATAACATTCTGATCATATGAGAGCTTTGAAAATTCTGATCGATGTTTTTGAGCTGAGATTTTGTTTCTATGGAATAGAAAATCCGACAAATGAAGAGCTGAACTCTCACTTGGTATTATTGAAATGGAAATGATCAAGAATAGATTGGAAATTGAATTTAAAACTGATGACATGTTTTCTTTTAATTATTTTTTTTCAATGCAACTGAGATGGTAAATTATTTTAACTTATACATAATATATTAGGAAGTGAGGAAACAATTAACATGGTCACAATTAGATTGTTTTTAAATTTATACAATTGGTAGTTGACCAGTTTTTAAGATGGTGGTTTGTTGATTGTTGGAAACATTGACCAGTTTTAATTGTATACTTGGTTCCAAATTTTTTCTTTTCTTCGCATTTTCCATCATAATTAGTTAAATCTTCTTCTTTTTTGAGGATTGATAATCAATTTTTTCTTACTAAACAACCTAAACAATTTTGTTGTGAAATTAGTTGATTGATGTTGATTGCTATATCTGGGTGGTGGTAGATGGTGAAGAGAGAGAAAGGGAGGGGAGTTAAAGGGTTTACACCGAGAAAAAAAAGGTTCTTTTCTTCATAAGGAGAAAATTGTTGTTTAAATTTCTTTCTCTATCTCTTTTTAAGCGGTGAAAGTGGCCATGAAATCGGTAACAACCTGCTTCAATTTAGCATCAACGGTATCACTAATTTTACCCTCGGTGGCAATAGCTTTAAGAATATCTGAGTGTGATGATTTAATGTGGGCTAAAAATTGTCGCTCAAATTCACCAATCTTTGATGGGTCAAGTTTATCTAGATAACCTCGGACACCGGTGTAAACAACGGCTACTTGGTCCTCAATTGGCATGGGAACATATTGACCTTGTTTAAGAAGCTCAGTCAAACGAACACCTCTGGAAAGCAATTGTTGGGTTGCAGCATCCAAATCAGAACCAAATTGAGCGAAAGCAGCGACTTCACGATATTGGGCTAATTCAAGTTTCATGGAACCAGCGACTTGCTTCATGGCTCGAGTTTGAGCAGCAGATCCGACACGAGATACAGATAAACCGACATTAATTGCAGGTCGAATACCTTTGTAGAAAAGTTCAGTTTCTAAGAAAATTTGACCATCGGTAATAGAGATAACATTGGTAGGAATATATGCAGATACGTCACCAGCCTAATGAAGAAAAAAAAAGTAAAATAATAATAAAAGACAAGATTGTTAATGATTAGAAAAACTCTTGTCTATTGAAATAAAACTTAAAATAGAATAGCAAAAAAAAATTGTCCTTGGCGAAGGTCATACCTGTGTTTCAATAACTGGAAGAGCAGTTAATGAACCACCACCATGAGTTTCGTTCATTTTAGCAGCTCTTTCCAATAGACGAGAGTGAAGGTAGAAGACGTCACCAGGGTAAGCCTCACGACCGGGAGGTCGACGTAAAAGAAGAGACATTTGACGATAGGCAACAGCCTAAGAGGAGAAAAACAAGTTGTAAGAATTAGGGAAAAATTCTATTCTTCGGTGATTAACAAGTAGATTAGTTGCACAATTTACCTGCTTGGAAAGATCGTCAAAAATAATTAAAGCGTGCATTCCATTGTCTCGGAAAAACTCTCCCATAGCACAACCAGAATATGGTGCAAGGTATTGAAGAGGAGCTGCATCAGAGGCAGTAGCGGAAACAACGATGGTGTACTTCATGGCATCTAAAAAGATGTTAATTGTTAATAAAAAGATGATCAGTAAAAGAAAGAAAGAGAGAGAGAGAGAGAGAGAGAGAGAGAGAGAGAGAGAGAGAGAGAGCAACGTGGAAGTATTAACTTACCAGCATCAGTTAATCGCTTTACAATTTGAGCGACTGTTGATCTCTTTTGACCGATAGCAACGTAGATACAGAAAAGTTTCTTCTTGTTGTCGTCAGATTCATTGAAACGCTTTTGATTGATAATAGTATCAATAGCAATGGCAGTTTTACCAGTTTGACGATCACCAATGATCAACTCTCGTTGACCTCTACCAATTGGTACTAAACTGTCTACGGCTTTGATTCCACTCAACATAGGTTCCCTAACACTGATTCTAGGAATGATACCGGGTGCTTTAACTCCGACTCGAGATCGTTGTTTACTGTTGACTGGACCCTAAAAATTGTGCAAAAGAAAAATTGACATGATAAATATTACGGTAAAAATTTGATCAAAAGGGTTAACAAGTAAAGATTCAACAAAATTGATTGTGACTCATTTGTCTTAAATTAGATAGCCCATAGCAACAAAATTGCTTCCGATACTTTTTGCTATTGGGATTAACTAATCGACGATCAATTAAAAGATCAAAATGTTCAAGTCAACAAAATGGATGACTACGTAGTCCGAGACAGCAGTCTTACCTTTCCATCAATTGGATTACCCAAAGCATCAACTACACGCCCTAATAGTCCATCACCAACAGGTACATCGACGATAGCACCAGTTCGCTTGACAATATCTCCTTCTTTGATAAGTTTGTCATTACCGAAAACGACAATACCTACGTTATCAGGCTCCAAGTTAAGAGCCATACCCTAAGGGTAAAAATAGAAGAAATTTGTAAATTAGACAAAATAGAAAACAAAAAAACGTCTAATGCAAAAAAATGAAAAGAGAAAGACAAAGGTACAATCAGGTCAAATAGGACAAATGCTTAGAAATCTTAAAAATTAAGAGATAGGAATCATTACTTTGGATTGAAACAAAGGTTAAACGGAAAGGGGGAGGCTGAGATACTAAATTAATAGAAGGTCAATTAAAGACATGTAGAAATGTGATTTTAAGGAAATAGAAAATTTAAAGGGTATACCTTAAGACCACTAGAGAATTCAACCATCTCTTCGGCCTGGATATTCTTAAGACCATAGACACGAGCGATACCATCACCGATGCTCAAGACTCGACCGGTCTCCTCAAGATCAACTGAAGATGTTTTACCAAGAATTCGTTCCTCTAAAATAGATGAAACCTCAGCAGAAGCAGCTTTCCTTGGTGTAGAATTACTAATACATCGGAAAGCCTGAACACTAGTGGCTCCATTAATCTTCAACATCTAAAACATAAGAGTAAGAAAAAGAAAGAGAAAGAAGAAAGAGGAAAAAAGAAACGAAAGAGAAAGAGAGAGATCCAGAAAAAAAAGAGACTTTAGAGAATAGAACAGCAATACAAAAAGAAAAACCAATCTTTGGACATAATAAATTGACCATAATAATCAAACTTACCTGTTTAATTGGTAATTTAGATGAGGCATTTTTGGCAATATTAAAAGTGGGACCAAACTTGGTAGCAAGAGCACTCATCGCCATGTTGTCTTTGAGCCAAGGGCAAAAGATACAAACCAAAGTGAGAGATTACAAAATGAACCAAACAAATATTAGATTAGAAAAAAAAGTTAATGAAGAATTTAAATATTCTAACTGTTAACCTTAGAATCAGGTAAATTAGAATAAGAAGAATCTAAAGAGAACAAAAAAAATAAGTTAATTAATTACCTTTAGTGATAAATTAATTGGAGACCGGATGAAACAATTTAATAAACAAGAAACAGGAGAAAACAGAATTAGAGTGAAATCAAATTCTGCCAACAGGGGGAACCGAAGAGAAGAACCGATTAACCAGATGGAGCCACTAAGAGAATAGAATTTCATCTTATATTCTCTTTCTTTTCTCTTTCTTTTCCTTTATGTTCTATTCTTCAGTGGCATCATCTGGTTAATCTCTGGCAACTTATTTTCTTGTCTACAAATTAAATCGGAAAATGTTTAAATCTCATGTTGTTAATCTTTGACCGGTGTTGTGTTTTTCAATTGTTAATCAAATGGATGGACAACCAGCAATCAGACAGATTGACCACATTGCCTTATTTAAGGAAATCAATGAATTTGTTTCCTTTCATCATATCTCTCAACCGCTTTCACCCTATTCATCTGATTGTGAGTCAAATTCATGTTCATCTTCATCATCGGTTGATTCCGATTTCTCTTTATTTGACAAAGGGAAACAACAATCAACTAGGATTAAATCAAAATTCAAAAGTGACACTCATGATACAAGACCAAAAGATCCTTCGGGTGATAAAATATTCCAATTGGTTGTTCGTGGGAATAGGAAAAAAACTCGATTTCCTTCATCATCTAATCAACAAAACCAACATGTGAATCAGAAAACAGCTCTTGTTAAATTTAAATCGCTTTCTATGAATGATAATTGTTCTTATTTTAACACTCAGGATAAAGGATTATCAAAGTATCCTAATTATGTTGATTATGTTAATAATATTAAGAAACCTTTTAAACAAATTGAAGAAATGCTTTCTGAACCAACGACCTCATCATCGAATCATCATTGTACAGTTAATCCATCAAGTGCTGATTTGGATCCTGCTATTCTGTCTGCATTAAACTCATGTATTTTCTCATCAGACTAATTAACGGTATCATGCAATTCTGAGTGGCAGCAGATTTCCGTGCGAATTGAACAAATTAGGAAATACCAAGCTGGATTATCTAAATTTGATTTACTCTTTCAAGTAATTTGCACATATAAAAACCTTTCTCATGCTTTTCATTGATATTTTTCAATATATTAATAAATATTGATAATATTATCCAATTTAACAAAATTAAAACAACATTTTCTTTTGTAAATAATTACAATTTTCTTAATTGTAAGGTTACATCTTTTAGATTAATTTTGAAAATATTCTCAGAGAAAGTAACGATTGTTGTGTTTAATTGTTTTCCATCGATTTGGGTTAATAAGCAATTCGATGTTAATTGATCTTGATAAGTTTTCGATTTATATAAATAATCTATTATTTGTTTTAAGTAATTAACACAATAATTATGATCAATTAAAGAAGTTACAATTGTTAAATTAATTCAGTTTTGGAAATGTTCATGGTAATAATTGTAACTGTCGATCCATTGGAAGATATTGTCAATTATTACAATTAAATCCATATTGATGAATTGTGGTTAATTATTGAGAAAGAGAGAGAGAGGACAAAATTAATTTAGTAGATTATGTTTAAGGTTGTAATCGATAAATAAATGAACCAAATTGCTTTCGAGGTTCGAGTTTAAATATCGATCGATTCAGATCAAGTTCTGGTTTTCAAAAACACAAAATTATTTCCTCGAAACTTTTACTTTGTCCTTTGCCCAAAGTTGAAAGCTAATTGTTGTTGTAAGTTAATCATGTTTTTTTATACATTAATTTCAAGGTGTTAGTGAGTTAATTAGAGGTTATTTTTGAGATTGATTGTAATACTTGTAAGTTGATTTGATTGTGATGCACTTTCAATTATGTATCTCACTTTAAAGTTATTGACAATCATTAGTATCAAAGTGTAAAGGTTAATACAAGTAATTTAACTGGAAATGTTGTTTTGTTTGATATAAGGCAATAAAGGCACTTAATTGTTAACCATTTAAGTTAATATGCACTTAGTTGAGGTGATAAATGTTAATTGTTGTGGATGATGCTTTAGATTCATGGAATGTGAGATTAGAGTTTAAGTATATTAAGAATGGAGGCAAAGAGGGAGAAAAGAAATGCACGAATTGGACGGAATTAAAACAAATGGACAAGAAAAAAGAAAACAGAGAAAATTTTTGACGATTGACAAAGGCGATGGTCAGCATATATGGAGGGGAACTTAGTTAACCCTCTCTGACGCAACAAGGACTCAATCGAAATGATCTCATTAAAGGCACTAATAATGAAGGTGGTCCCGCTTGTCGTAAGAATTGGTGTTGCAATAGCTCCTCGGCAGTGGCACGTTGACCAGGATCTCGGATCAACATTTTCTCAAGGAAATCTTGTAATTGTGGTGATACTTTATGGGCGTTTTTCAATTTGGGTGGTTCCATATCACGAATACGTCTCATTGCTGGCAAAGGAGGCTCATCGAACAACGGTGGTTCACCATCGACCATTTCAATGACCATTATTCCAAGTGACCAAATATCAACTTCGGTTCCATAAGGCTGACGAGAGATAACCTCTGGTGCCATCCAATAAGGTGTTCCCACAAGAGATTTACGTTTAGGAACTTCGGGTGAAACTTGAGCACAAAAACCAAAATCAGAAAGTTTAATCTGTAATAATAACAACAACCAAGAGAAAAGAAAAATATAAGTCAGGTTAGTTAGAATAGTTTGCAAAAAAAAAGATTAACACAATTTAAGCTAATTACCCTTCCATCAGCAGCTAATAATATGGAATCACTTTTGATATCACGATGAATAACTCCTTGGGAATGTAAAAAGGCCAAAGCTTTAAGACACTGAATACAAACGGTGGCAATTTGATCTTCATCCATTCTGGAAAAAAAAAGTAATCGAAATAATTTAGAGTTTTGTTTTCTTCTAATCGAAATCATTATCTTCTATTACCTGGATTGTGTAACAATATCAGTAAGAGCTCCACCTTCAAGAAACTCCATGATAACCCATAGCTCTTCATTGACGAGATACGAATCGTACATTTCAACGATATTCGGATGGTGATAATCTCTCATGATGACAACCTCATTGAATAATAACTCGCGACGCTGTTGCTTTCGAAGGTCCATTTTTTTGACAGCCACCAATTTACCGGTTGTCTTTTGGGTGGCGATGCAAACCTGACCTGTGGATCCAGTACCAATTAGAACAAAATTCTCAAGATTCTCTCTGGGATCACCTGGACTAACTACCATTTGAAGAGCCGCTCTAAATTGTTCCCTTGAAAGTCTTTGTTGATATTCTCGATTATTGTCTTTCTGTTGAGGTGACAATTGAACTTGTTGCATCTGCATTGGTTGTTGCATTGGAATTTGATTAATCATAGGCATTTGTTGAGAAATTTGAACTGGTTGTATTTGCAATGGTTGTTGTTGTTGTATAGGAATCTGTTGTTGTTGTAGTTGAAGTTGAAGTTGTTGTTGCGACATTTGGACTTGTTGCATTTGCATTGATTGTTGTAATAAGTTTTGCTGTTGGATTTGTTGTTGCTGTTGTTGTTGCTGCTGCTGTTGAAGCTGTTGTTGCTGTTGCTGTTGTTGTTGTTGTTGTTGCTGTTGTTGTTGCTGCTGCTGAAGTTGTTGCAATTGTTGCAATTGTTGAATTTGTTGTTGTTGATGTAATTGCTGTTGTTGGCGTTGTAGTAACTCTTGTTGTTGCTGCTGGTGAATATGTTGTTGAAGCATAAGAAGTGGTTGCTGTGGTTCTCTAAGCTGTTGTTGTTGTTGTTGTTGTTGTGACAATTGTTGTGATAACTGTTGGAGATGTTGATGATGGTTATTCAAATGATTGGGAGATGATTTTGGTCGAACAATGGTCGGAGTAACATTAGAAGAAGCTGATATATTATTAGTAATGGTATTTGTGGGAGCACCTTGAATAAGGCTTGTCCATTGAGGAGGTAAACCGACAAATTTACCTTCCCGTCGGTCAAATCCAGTGTGAACACGATGCTCAAAATTTGTTGGAGCAGAAATGGTTGGACGTTTCTTCTTCTTAGTAAACATAACTTTAAAATAGTGAAAGGGAGAAAAAAATCATAAAACAAAAACACAATTAACAAACCGATCAAAAGAAGCAAAAAAAAAATGAATAAGGAAAAGAATCAAAAATAAAAATTCAAAAAAAAACAGAATCAACAAAACAATCAAAATTTTCAAAGAAAAGGTTATCAAGATCATCGGATGTTAACTTGTCATGAAAAACCTTCCACCAAATAGATCGGCTACAAGTGTAACACTAGATCAATAATAAGTTAATTAATTACCTGAGGTGAGAATAAATAAATTAATTGTAAACTTATTCAACTATTTAATCAAAACAAATTCCAACTATTAGATCAACTTAATTTATTCAATATATTCATTTTTCCTCTGTGAGGTGACTAATTACAGTCGTCATATGACTGAGCAGCCTCTGGTGCTGCCCTCGATCGGTCATATAAGCCACCGATTGACAGAGAGGATATTGACAGAATTTCCTTTTCTAGTTTCATTTTGTTTACAATTTCGTGTATTATATTAATGTCTTCCTTGGTCCATTCATCGATTCTTTTCTGTCCGATTTCCACTATTTCAGGCCATATGTTTCTCCTCTTCTCACATTCATATAATATGTGATGTGCGTTTAGTATCTTGTCGCAACACTTTGGTAATTGGTAGTGCCTTGTTAACGCCATCAATGCTCGTTTCTGTCCTTCGTGAAGCTTGGATTTGAGGTTAATATTTAATTTGCTTATTTGCGATTTCGATTCTCTAAAGACTTTTTCTAATTTTCTTTCTAATGTTTTTTCCAATTCTCTGTTTTGTGCCAATCTTGTCAACGGCTTGCCACTAACGGGTACCTCCAATCCGCTCTCCCCGTCTTTCCATTGTCTCTGTTGATATGTCGTGAATTTCCAGTTACCTGGTTTACTTAGAAGTGCCCTCAAGTTTAGCGCAAATGGTGATCTACCTAGATAATACTCCGAGGATTTCTGGTCCAATTCTAATACGATTCCTTTGTTATGCATCATTTGTAACACCATTTCTACCGCTATCAGTTTTTGCTCATATTCCGTCGCTTTCCCAGGAACCAAAAGTGTCATCATTCTTGTGCAGTTGCTCGTTATTGTTTTGATTCCAATTTCTAGTCTATTTTCGCCTTGGATCACTCTATATACCACCCGTGGCTCTCCCGATGTAACAAGTCTTTCTTCCACCCACGCTTTTGGGATCCATCGTTCCTTTAACCATCGTTTGCCATTGAAACGTTCGGTCTCATTTGCCAATCGTTTCATCTCGCCTCTCAACATGTTGCCGATGAAATTCAGGTACCCCCACAGTACCAAGTACGACCATTTCGACTGATCAGTTTTGCCACAGAATCTGTTTACATAACTTCCAATTAATTCGATTATTCTACTTATCTTAGGTTCTTTTTCTGTTAACATCATTAAGAAGTGTTGTTGCAGTTTTGGCCATATTATCGATGAGAAGAGTGTTTTGATGATGTTATGTGGTAGATACTTTATGCTCGGCCAGTTCCTCGTGAACTTTGGCAGGATCTCTTCATAATATGTTTCTTTGACTTTTCTCTCCAGTTCCGTCATTCTAATTTTCCTTCTCGTTGCTGTGTATCCCACCAGTTTAAAGTACCCTTTATGGTTTGGTGCAATTGTTTCCGTTTTTGATACATTTATTTTTAAATCAATTTCTTCTAACACGGTTTCAATCATATTCATTATTGTTGGTATGAATCTTGCTTGGTCTTTATTCAGGATGAACACCATGTCATCAGCGTAGGCAATAACTTTGAGTCCTGAATTCCACCACATTCGGATACAATGGTCAAGCGCTATGATGAATAGTAGTGGGCCCGTTGCAAGTCCTTGTGAGATATGTGACGGGTTTTTCTTGTAAAGTTTCTTCTTTTGGTCATATATTGTTAACCAGCTGTTCTTGTTCATTGACTCTATTATCGACCATGTTGATTGTCCAACACTTTCGATCAACTGACACCGGATCTTGGCAAGGTTCACATCATCGAAAGCTGTCTTAACATCGATTTTAACTATTGTTGATGTCTCAATGTTTTCCAGCTTCATTATCCTCATGTAAAACTGTTCCCTTCCTGTCATTCTTTGGAAACCATATTGAGTACCAGGTAGTAAGAATTCGGGTAGAATGTCTAATAGTCTCTCCGCTATTACTTTATCTATTATTTTGAACAGGTAGCATGGAGTTCTAACCATCCTCAGTTTTCCTTCAGCTTTTGGGACAAATCCACATCCGACTGTGGTCAGAACATTTGGTACATGGGAGATTGCGAATATTTGTTCTAGCAGCCATAAAATCGTTTCCTCATTCGTTTTCTTAAACTTTTCCCAACTACGTGGTTCGAAATTATCAGCTGATAAGCTTGATGAACGGATCTTCATCTTTTTTATCATCTCCACTTCATGCGGTCGCAGTTTACCTTCAAAGTAGCTCGGACTATCACAGTATTGCGGCTTGTTTGGTGTGAAACCTTGTAGCCATTGGTCTTTGCTCAATTTCGTGCGATCATCTTTCCAATCAATTCTTTCAGCCCGTGTAAGTATATGATTGTTAATGAGTTTCCACATTTTCTTGCTGTCCTTTACCTTTGTGAATAACTTTTGTACATTGAACGAATTCATCTTTCTGTTTATTTCATCAGATAGAACTTTTATCATCTCCTGCCAGCCTGATGGTCTTTCTTTTAGTAATTTTCTTCGTTTAATCATTAATCTTCTAAATCTATTTCTCTTCTTTGGTCTCCAGGTCCATTTGGCATGTGTATCCGGAAAGTGTACAATTTTCTTCACTAACTCTATCAGGTAATGATCTTTGGTCCATTTGATCGGCCTATCATAATTTTTCTCCACATTTTTACTTTCCAAGAACCGAAGTTTTTAACCTTTTCTTTTTCTATTATTTCTCTTTTTGTTCTAGGTTTTATTTCTGCCATCGTGTTCAGTTTCATGTGGTCTGAGGCCGTTTCCATGATATTCTGGTTCTTCATTTCCATATTCGTAAATATCATATCTAATACACTGTCTCCTCTTCTGAAAGTGGTTTCAAAGTCTCTACTCATTGGAATCAGTTTCATTGTTCTCAAAATCTGATGAATGAATCGTAGAATTGTTTTTTACGATTTGTCCTTGAGTCGTGATCTTTAGCGTTTTTTTGCCAGTATTCATCAGTCGTGTTCAAATCACCCATTAGAATAATTGATTGATCTTTGAATTTCTGTCCAATTGAATTCAGAATTGTTATTATCTCTTCCTGTCCTGTTCTTTTCCATGGTCGGATGTAAATTGCTATCACTATCACTTGTGTGTTTCTTATGTGTATAACCAGCAATTGATTCGCATCCCGATTTATTACCTTTGCTTCCATGTCCATTGAGATTATCACAGCGATTCCTTCATTGCCAAAGATAAACTTATTGTCTATGTAATCATTTAGTATTTTTAAATTTGGCTCACAAATTGATGTGATCGCGTAATTTGATTTTAGCGTTTCACTAATTGTTGTTTTAGTTAAATTTTTATTCTGTTCACATTCACATGAGAAATATTTACCCACATTTTTATTCAACTGTGATCTAATTTGTTTGTTTACGTTTCCAGGTAGTAACCAATCCTATTTCCCTGGCTCACTTTTTAAAACTGTATCATGTCTGATGTTGTTCCCCCTGAGTTTTCTTATCGGACTTTTAATGGTTTCATCCGAAGTTCCTTATTTAAGAAGTATCTTGGTCAGCCTTTTTTTGTCGGATCTAAGTTCACCTTGGTCCGCGAGTTCTTGACCATTCATAATGGTGCTGTTAGAATTAGTGATCTTCTCTATACTAATCATGAGGAAAATGGAGTCAATTATTTCATCATTAAAGTTAAAGTTAATTGTTACGGTGGAGTTTATTCTGGTATCGGTGTTCATGATCTCTTTAAGAAAGCTCATGACATGGCCTGTCATAATTTGATCGCTAAACTTGTTGACCGTGAGCCTGGAATAATAATGGTGAGTTTTTCGTGAAATCAGTTTAGACAAGCGATACTAATTAACCTTTTCTTATTATTTCAGCCTCGTGTCTTAACTGCATTGCCTAATTGGCGTGGCCATTGTTTTTTTAACTCAGCTTTTCTTCCATTGCTACATTCTCAGGTTTTCGTTCATGATTTGTTTCGGTGTTTCCTCAACTCCTCAAGTTTAGTGAGTTCTAATCAAGCTATTAACCCTCGAAAGCGTTCGAATTTTACTGATAAACTTGAGCCACCTCACCTTTGGGTTATAACTATTTATAATTTCTTCGAGATGTCATTAAAGCTTCCGTTAAAGACGATTTTGCAATAAAGAATCTTCCTCCTCACCTGGAGAAGAAGCTGTTTCCGCATCTCACGTTAGTGCCTCCTTCTAAGATCAAGCCTTTCAACGATTTGGATCTCGATGATCATCAGATGTTGGTGCTAAGGCATTTGAGTGATTTTTGCTGTCGTAGCTATGAGACTCCCGGTGGGCTGGAGGGTGAAACTTATTTTGATCTAATTCGCAAGCTATCAAATGAAGATATCGTTTTCCGCAACAAGTTCATGTTTGGTGTGAAAGGTACTTTTATTTGTCGTCATTGTGCCAATTTCCATCTCGATTTCCACTATGATTTCCCCGTATTAGAATTACCTGGAGATGCTTGTTTACCTTTAAAAGCTATTCGATTGTCTGAAATTCTGACTGAGCCTGCTTATTGGAGACCAACAATTAAGCTCACATGCCCTAATATTGTCAATGGTGCTACTTGTGGGAGTGGATTCAAGTGTATTAATGATTTTGAAATTGTTCGTATCCCTGATTTTATGGCTATTAACCTCAGAGGTCCATTGATGGAGGATTCAAATTTCACGATAATACCCGAGGAGCACATGGTTCTCACCCTGGATGGTCAACAGTTCGTTTATAATAGATTCGCCTTCAGTAGCGTCTACATGACTTACAACACAAAGGCCGGTGAGTCTCTTGGTGATCGTTACCTTGTTAAACACCCGAGTTTTCTTGATGCTGGATGGCACACTTGTATTAATATTAAAACTCGTAACGGTTATCAGGAAGTAAATAATGGTCATTACCATGAGGTTATTCCTGATTTATTCAAGCGTTACACCGAGGGTACTCTTTTATTTTATCAATTAGCCGATTATGATTGGTTACCTGTTGGAAGACCTTTACAATAGTGAGGCTTCAACTTATTTATTATTAAATGTTTATTTTCAAATGTTTTATTAGTATTACATCAAGTTATTTTTCTTGTCTTAAGTAATCGAGAACAGAAATTTCTTTGTTGAGTGAAGCCAGATTAGGTTAGCTCTTTTGTAACTCTTAATTTGTTCAGCGAAACCAGATTAGGTAAGCTTTATTACATCATTAAGTGATTGTAACTGAAATCATAGTCTGAAACTGCGAGTTGTAGCTCTGAGCAATATAATTTACACTCTTGACTATATGCCTGGTGGTCCTTTTTTCCACATGATGGACACAGTAGCTCCTTTGCTGTGCAAACTGATCTCAAATGTTGTCGTGAACATCTTGTGCATTTGAGTTGGTTGTTGCAATATCGTTTTGTGTGACCGAATCTGTGACACATACCACAGGTCATGATTGGGAAATTATCAATTACCGTATGGAGATTCGCTCCTGATGAGATTTTACCTTTAAGTTTCGATTCAATTAGAGACCTGGTTGAAGGAGAGATTTCAACAATTGCTCCCCATTTATTTGAGTTCAACCCTATCTCGTAGTAATGCATCAACTTGAACTGATTTTCATCTCTGAAACCATTTATCATCATAATTCGTTTTATATGGTTCTCCCATGATTGATTAATTGGAGGTCTCAGATAATTGATCTTGACTTGAGGTTTTTTCCACGGTAGAGATTCAACTTCCACTTTTTCCATCTTGAGTTTTCTCAGTAGGTCCATCCGTTCATCTTCGCTGTTTACCATAATCAAACTGTATGTTCGCCATGCCGATATTTTGAATTGGTAGTCTATACCTATTTCTGATATAATATCAGTCAGTTTATCTACCGATCTGTCTTCTTGAGGTCCAGTTATTTTGAGTTTAAATATTCTGTTCATGGACCATTTCCACCAGTTGGATGGTATCTCACTCGTAGATGGTATTAGATTGTGGGATCTTTTAGTGTTTTCTCTTGGAGCCTGAATGACTTTATTTAGCATTTCTTGATCTTGCTGGTTCTTTTGTCGTTTCGGCGGGTTTAAATCAGTCTCTTGTTCTTCGGGTATGTCTGGTGCTGATGTTTCTGTGACGACGGATTGGGTAATAGCAGATCTCTCAGCACGAGCATTTCTTAGTTTAACAGATTTTTGAAACGCCGTTACAATCTTCTTGAGCCATTCAACCTTTTGTTTTTCAACAGCACAACCTTTCTCGTCTATTGGATCTTCAATCAGTTGAAGGATCAGTTTAATGTTTTGTTCAATGTCTCGGGTATCGCCCTCACTCAGGTAATGGGTGAGTTTGTTACTGCTGAATTGGCCGTTTTCAAAGAATTCCATTATTTGATTTTTCATGATGTCATACTGTTGTTTTAATTCAGCACTAGGTTCTTTAAATATTGGGAATATCATCGAAGGCTATATTTATTTGAGAAATAAAGTAAAATTAGAAAGGGAAGAGAATTTTTGTCAGAGTTTAAGTTTAAGTGTCTCGTAAAACGTGGTCTTCGGTATCTTGTCACGTATTTTTCTTGTCACGAGTGTCTTACCTGAGTTGTTGGTGCCATTTTCTTCTTCAATTGTACACTTGTTTTCCACGAACTTTTTACTTGTATTTTGATTTAACACCGGTTTTAATTAACTTATTTAATTAAATTCTTAATTTTCTCAATAAAACCATTCAATTCCAACCAACAGGGGACCGATTTTTCTAAAAGAACAATAGATGGCGTTAGTTAACCAATGGAATCGAATGAATATTTGAGCGGCAAATATGAGATCGAAATTTGGAATTTTTTTATCGAATTAAATTTTTCTTCTAATTTTTATTGAAAATTGATTGCTCGATGAATTGTCCAATACAATTAATATAATTTCAATTTTTACAGAGATGTCCAAAAAGAGAAAATTTTGGTTCTTCCAAGAATAGAAAAGAAGAAGAAGAAAATAAATGAAGAATGAAGTTTGTTTTTCTTTGCTGTCGATTCGTTGTTTTAACAATTAATAAATTGTTATCCAAAAGAAAAAGAATAAGAGTAAACCAATTGATAAACAAGTAAATGTCCACAATTAAAGAAAATTTCACATTTAAACAACTAGAAGAGAACTTGTTGCCTAAAGTATTTAGTTAAGATTCGATTGTGTCTCATTCCAATGTCCAAATTACGACGAGCAACTAATCTATTGAAATAATTAATATCTTTGGCTCGTTTGACCGCAGCTTCACCTTTGATTCCTGTCCATCCAAGAGCTTTGTAATTATTCATCACCTTATCCAAGATTCTTTGATTAGTACTAGAACCATGTCCAAGTTTTTCAACGATTGGCCTTAAATTTTGTTTATAATAACGTAACAATGATCGATGGCCAATAACCGATCCGGAAGGAAGGACAAGTTGCCAGGAATCATCGTCTACAGTAAGAGTATCAATTTTAACCTCTTCATCTGCATCAGCACCTTCAGCATCAGGATAAGATTTAGAGTAATCATAAAAATCAGCATATTCCATGAGTACATCAGCCTGTTCAAAGTTGATCTTTGAATGTCCCTTACAAAGCATATGTTGTTGAGCAGATTTAGTTGATCGAAAGGTTTTACCATTATAAGAACACCAAAGACAAACATGATCGATTCCAATTTTTTCACCCAAATAGGTTAATAAAGATTCCAAATCGGTAACATAATCAATGTCAGGAATAAAAAATGAATGAGATAAACTCATATGTTTAATATTCTCTTCCATTGAATCTGCTTCCCGAAGGCAAAAGAAACACTGATCAGGCCTGAGAGCATTTTTACCCTCCTCATAATCATCATCGACTGTCTCATAATCGTCATCATCATCTTCATCTTCTGAAGCTAATTCATTCATCATAGAATCAGATTTAATCACAGATTCTTCTGATGGTGGTAATGGTTTTGGATTCTTGGCAGCAATTGAATCTTTAATCTCTTTCCTCTCAACCATTTCTCGGTGTTTTTTACTTTGACAGTGTTGGTCAAATGCTGCGGTCGATGAAAACGCTTTACGACAAGCGGCACAATATTTATTCGTCTCTCTGGTATTCTCTTTAATTTCAGCGGCCACTTGTCGAGCTTTAATCTTCTCAAAGGTATCAAATGGAACACAATTAAGATCAACCAATTTACGCTTTAAATTATACTGATGCCATTCACTTTTATAGTGTTGCTTTTGCCATTCATTGGTTGAGAAATTAACCTTACAGGTTAAACAAGTGTAAGTCGCCATAATAATCAACTTAAATTACAACAATACAGCAGAACAATAACCTAGAACAGAACAAAAATTAGAAACAATTAACAAAATTATAGAAGAAAAAACAAAATTGCAAAAAAAAGAAAATCAAAACAAACCAGAAAATGGAAAATCAATTTCACCTGAGAATCTAAACCAACGTGGACAAAGACAAAAGAAAACAATCCAACCAAAGGTCTTAATCAAGTTTCAATCAAAGAAAATTAATAAATCACAATTAGAATAAAGGTAAGTTTTAATTAGAAATTAACAAAAAACTATAAAATGATTAATCTTCTAGTGAGACAATTTCAATCACTGGAATAATTTTCATTCCTTGTTAACTCCTCCTCCTTTTTCCTGGGTAAAGGTTGAATTGTTTTCCTTTTAGTGTTTATCATTTTCCTCTGTGAATGTTTTGCTCTTTAATTGTTCCTTAAATTGTTCCATTATTTTGTTATTATAGAATTTTAATTATTCCTAATTATGGCTACATCAACACTAAAAATTGTTCGACTTGCTCCAGCCTTAAGTAAGTATTCGTTTTCTGTTTTCGCTTTCAGGCTTACGTTGAATTTTATGTTTATCTTTTTTTTTATGGTTTTTCATTTTCTCTCTCCATCTTTGTTATTCAGAGTTTCTCACCAATGTGACCCTTAATTTATTTTATTTATTGTGATTTTTTTTATTGATTCCCTTTTGTGGAATTTATTTCATCAATTTGACGAATGTTTTTTCATTTATTTGCTCATCTTTTACTCTATTTTTTTCAGCTCGTAGTTATAATTTGGAAGCTTTGAAAAAGGTTTATGATCAAACGCGACCAGCATTGAAAATCGGGTCTCATACTAAGGTTATTTGCCAAGGTTTCACCGGTAAACAAGGTACTTTTCATAGTAAACAAGCAATCGAATATGGTACAAAGGTTGTTGGCGGTGTTTCTCCAGGAAAAGGTGGTAAAACTCACCTTGACCTTCCCGTTTTCAGCACCTTAACAGAGGTTAGTAAATGTCCAAAAACGACAAGATAATCACCGATTCTCGGGATTGAGGATAGTGTTTGGAGTTATAATTCCTTGACAATCCAACTGATTTAATGACTTTTCAATTCTTAGGCAATGAAAGAGACTGGATGTAATGCCTCTGTCATCTATGTTCCAGCTCCTGGAGCTGCTAAGGCCATTATGGAGGCCATTGAAGCTGAAATTCCTCTAGTTGTTTGTATTACCGAGGGAATACCTCAATTGGATATGGTACGAGTTAAACACGCTCTCATCAGACAGAACAAGACTCGACTTATTGGCCCTAACTGTCCTGGTATAATTAAACCAGGTGAATGTAAAATCGGTATAATGCCAGGTCATATTCACCAACGAGGTAAAATTGGTATTGTCTCTCGATCGGGTACTTTAACCTACGAAGCAGTTCACCAGACAACCCAAGTTGGTTTAGGTCAATCTCTTTGTATTGGTATTGGTGGTGATCCTTTCAATGGAACTGATTTTATTGATTGTCTGGAGGTTTTCCTCAATGATCCTGAAACAAAAGGTTTGTAAATTGATGAACAATTTTTTCAAAAATCATCAATCAATTTTGACTCAAATTTTTTCCTTATTCCTCATCAGGTATCATTTTAATCGGTGAGATTGGTGGACAAGCGGAAGAACAGGCAGCCGAGTATTTGAAAGAGCACAATTCGGGCTCTAATTCCAAGCCTGTTGTCTCCTTTATCGCTGGTCTAACCGCTCCACCAGGTCGTCGTATGGGCCACGCTGGAGCCATTATCTCAGGCGGTAAGGGTGGAGCTCAGGCTAAAATTGAAGCCCTTCAATCAGCTGGTGTTGCGGTTACCCGATCACCGGCTAAAATGGGAGCATTTATGCTTGAAGAGATGAAAAAGCGAGGCTTAGCATAGAGTGGATTATATTAATATAAACACACATTATTAACTTTTCCAACAGAAAAGCTAATTTTATCAACCAAATATATTATCAATTCTAATTAATTACACAGCAAATTATATGTGAGTTATATATTGTTGCGAGAATGGTTTAATTTTTGTTTCTCTTCCTCCTTTTCTCAATCTCTCATTTGAATAATGTTTTTTCCTTTAAAATGAATTTGAAAGATGGAAAGAAAAATATTTAAAAGAATATATTTCAATATTCAACATTTTGCTCATCAAAACTCTCAAATTAAGGTTGTGATTAATCATCAAAATGGAAATGGAAATGGTTTTTCCTGATACTTTCTTCATTCTCTTTTTATGTTTGGAATCGCTGAATGGATGTTCGTGGATTAGTTTTCATTTACATTATCCACTAATGGATCTTGATTGATGGATATAGTTGAAAATTATGTATGATGTTTTTTTTTTGGAATTTTAGTTAATTTTTAAGTTCTCTTAAATTTTCCAATATACAAATTGTTTCATCCAATCTTTCGTTGGCCTTTACTAAAGCGGCATCGTTAATAACTAATGAAGGCTTATCCTTTGGAACCACAGCCAATTGACGAATAACATCTAATTTAGCAGATAATCCAGTTGCAAGTGAATCAATTGTTTCCACCAATTTTTTACAATCAATTTGATCCATCCAATTGTCTTTACATTTGGTCGTATCGGTTGTATCCATGTTCATCTTGAAAGTATCCAATTCTAGTTTGACAACATCTAATTGAGCTTTGATCACTTCTGCTTTATTTGGTTCACTAGGTTCTTTAACAAATCGTCTAAAAGAAATAACAAAAGAAAAACAAATTAACCTCCATTACAATCAAATTCAAGCTCAAAAATCATAATCAACAAATTGACGAGAAAGTAAAACAAAGACAAAGAAAAAAACACTTAACTTACTTTGGTGTTTTCTTAGCAGTACTTAAAGCACCATAACTAGAATAACTACTCAGACTTGAGGTTGACATGATTATCTATCAGAGGAAAAAATTGGTAACAATTAATCAACAGCAATTAAAACTAAACACAATTGAGAGTAACAACAATCAACTTTCAAAAAAGACAGTTGAATGTGTAACCAAAGAGATTGATCTCTATGTTGAGCGAAAAGCGGTTCATTCAAATGATTTGGAAGAAAAAAAATTCGATTAATTTTGATCATCGAATAAATTGAAATTCTAATCAAATATTCGACTGTTAATGGAAACAATTAACATTTGAATTTCTAATTCTTATTAATTGTCACATTGGTAGTTGATCAACTAATCGAATAGATAATTTTTTCTCTCAACAATAAATGAAAATGTGATTTAAATCAACGAAATCAACTAATTAGTTTATTAGAATTGTTGATGAATTAAGATAATCAGTTGAACATCTACAATTATTAGCTGACAATTAACTCACAATCAGTGAGTACTTTTAATCCATTGAGTTGTTAATTAGAAGAAATTTTTTCTTTTCCTAATCTAAATCAGTGATCAAATCTAATTGTGGTGATTAACTGAATTTTTCCTGGTTAATCAACGATTGAAAAAAAAATTGTTAACTAATCAGTAAATTGCTTGGAGGAAGTGAAAAGTTTATCTACAATCAGGTAAGATTAATAAGCTAATAATAATGATAATCAATTGGATTAATGATTAAATTTAGTAATCAAATCAAATCAAATCAAAAATGAAATTTTCGGGAATAAAAAAAAACTAAATTAAAAAAGTTGATTATTATTTGATCTTAATCAATTGAAATTAAAGCTAATTCCATGTAATCAGAATCCACATATTAATTACCAAATTAAATTAAATGTTCAATTTAATTTTTGTAACACAATAAACTCTTAATTGTTACAATCTATTAATAAGATGAGACAGTTAATTAGGATCAGAAAAAGTTTCCAATTGAAAATAAAAATCCAAATATGATGTTGATTGTTGATTGATTTTTCTGATCATCAAGATCATTGTCATTGTCATAAATTAATTGTTACGATGATGATTGAGAAAAATATTTGATTGTAAAGAAATCAAGTAAATCAACAATCAAAAATTAAGCGAAAAGAAAAAAGTAAAATAAAAACAATCAAGAAAAAAAGGTGAATCAATATTTGGATCATTGAACAATCAAATCAATTGTAGTCGTTGATTGTAATTAAAAAGCTCATCTTCATGATCATGATCATGATCATCTCATTTTGTCAAATGATTAAGACAAAAATCTCAATCTAATCATGATCATAAACAATCAAGTTAATTGTAGTTACAAAAATGATCTAACAATCAACAAGCAAACGATAATTAAACAACAATTAACAACTTTGTCTCAACTAATTAACTAATCAATTGAAACAAAATTAAAAGGTTTACTGGTGATCCTAATTGATTAACATGATGTTAATTAACTAGCACACAGCAATTAGACAGAAAAATAATCAACAATCAAAGTAAAACAATCAAATCAATGAAAATATTATTAGTAAATCAAATTATCAGACAAAACAAATTTCTCATATTATCACAATTAAATTGTCGTGATTAAGATAATTTTATTAATAGTAACAATCTAATTAACCACCAGGACAATTAAAAATCTAGGAGTGTTATTAGTTTATTAAATTGTTATTTGTTTCCCTTAATTGTTGAGGGATTTAAACAGTTTGATAGTTTGTTGATTGTTGATTGTTTGACTCTCCTTCCAATAGTTAGTAAGTTAGTTAATTGTCGCTCGACACAATAATCACAATTAGGAACCATGTTCATCAGCACGTACCAGGATGATTAAGAAGATGATGTTGATCATCACGAATCAAATAAAACAATAATTGTAGTTTAAATTGTTGGAGAAAAATTTTTTTTTCTTCCACAATCAAGTCTCGTTAAGATGATTAACTTTTATGTTGATTGGTTGAATTGAACATTGAACTGAATCAACTAATTGCCGGATGAACGTGCCTTAAGGCATTTAATCATTTCAACGATCTTAATCATTAATAATCATCTTTAAATAGTAACAATTTAAAAGTCAATTGAAACTTTTTTATCAACGACAATCAACTTGATCAACATTTTTTTTTGCACCAACGTTAAATTGATTGTTGACTTTGATTGTTTACTCAAATTATTACTATTACAATATCATTATAGTCAATTTGTTACCTCTTTCATTGTCAAAACAAATTAAAATTAAATATTAATCATCAACAATCAGTAACAACAACAACAACAACGAGCAATCAGTTAAATCGTTAATTGTTACCGTTGATACACTCGAAATGTTTTAATATTTTCCAACCAGATAAAAATGTAACAATTTAATTTTTCAGTAATTGGTACGATTAAATTGTGAGAAATTTAATTTCCTCTTCAAGCAAATTGGCAAAAGAATTAATTAAATCGATAAGAGTAAATTAAGATCATTCAATTGTTTGGAAAATTCAGAAATTGATCCAAATCGAGTTACAATCAACCCAATAAAACGATTCATTTAAAATCCCATAAAAATTTGATTCGATTCGTATTTAATTCCTGATAATCACTAATTTTCCTTAATTGTCAGCAAAATTAACGAATTAATTACAATTAGATCAATGGCATCTATCGGAAGTAAAAGTAAACAAAAATTTCGAATTTTTTTTTCTCTTTCAATTTGATTACCGCCTTTTCTTTGTTGTTGCTCTTTAATAATTGAGAAGAAGAGAAATTAACTCGCTTAATCTAAATTGTTGTTAATTTGATTTTGTTTTTTTTTTCTTCTCATTGATTGTCCACTTAATTGTGACCATTTAGTTGATGATCGTGATAACCTGATCTCTTCCGTTTTAATATTGTCATAAATTGGATGAAGTTAAAATATGAGTAAAAATATAATCCAGGTTAGTTGATTATCTATATACATGTTATTAATCACCAATCTATTTGAAGTTTCGGTTTTTTTTTCTTAATTCATTTTATCTGTTGTTGTTGTTGTTTTTTTCTGTTAACAATCAACTTGTCAACCATGATGATGATGATGTTGATGATCAGGGGCGTTAGTAATTCTGATTCTTGATCATCTTCAGTCATCTTCCACCTTCTCCTGCTCTCCTAAAAATACTTAATACGTTGTAGGTATTGTATGGAATTGTACCCGTTTTAATGCTCACTTTTATTTCTCTCTCTCTCTCTCTCTCTTGTTCTCTTTCTTTCTCTCTAAATAGCCACCCCCTTAAATTGTTGGAAGATAATTTAGCTTATATATAAAAAGGAAAAGATGGAATCCCGCCAAGCCCAGTTTGAAACTTGAAACGATTCGGATTCACTTCAAATTTTCATCTATTCTCAACTCATTCAGTGTTCTCAACACTTTCGTTTTAATAACAAAAAAATATTCTATTCTATCTTTGGAACCTCCAGTGCCAATTTATATTTTCTATACTTTTAACATTATTTGTCTGTTCAAATTTTTTCAACAACAACAAAATGGATTGTAAAATGATTTCCTTATACATTATCTCTGGTTTATTAGTTTCCGTTTCTGGTCAATTCTTTAGTGGAGCATCAGGTGGATTTGGTTCTTCAGGATCATCATTATCTTCAGCTTTTGGTAATTCTCTTTCACCTTTATCTTCAGCCTTTGGTTCACTTTATGGACTTTCCGGTTCATCTGGTCATGGAGGTTCATTAGGTTCAGCTGGATCAGCTGTCGGTGGTGCCGGTGGTTCAGCCGGATCGGCAGGTTCATCACTAGCCAGTCTTTATGGTTCCCTACCATCTTACTTAAGATCACCTTCATATTCATCTGGATTATCCTCAAGCCTTTACGGTTCAGCTTCACCAATTTTCACCTCATCAACCAGCATTCGTCCACTTACCTCACCTTATGGACCAGCCTCAGGTCTTTATGGTTCATCAGCTCTTTCCTCACTTGGATCACCCTATGGTTCAGCTTTCGGTTCAACCTCAGGTTTTGGTTCATCATCTTTTGGCTCATCACCTTCATATGGTTCCGCTCTTACTGGTGCCTCATTCGGCTCAGCTGGTACCGGTTCATATGGTGCAGCTCCAACCTCATATGGTTCATCGTTTGCACCCTCTTATGGTTCCCTCTCACCCTCATCACTTTCATCCTCAAGCTATGGTCTCTCATCCCTTGGGTCATCTTACTCACCCTCATATCGTAAGTAACAGTTATTTAAATAAACTAATCAACAATCAATACCACTCTTCAACCATTAATCTATTTTCGAATACAATCCAAGAAAAGAAAAAAATCAAATCAATCGATAAATAACATTATGTTAATCAACTAATTATCATTCAACTTAACCTTGATAATGTTTCTTTTGTCATCCTATTCCAACTAACCCACTTTTCCCCACCACGATAACTGTCTGCTCTGCTACTTTTTCATCACCATCTCTCTCTCTCTCTCTCTTTTCTCTCTCACTTTGCCAATTTGATAATGATGATGATGATACAAATCACAATTAAAGAGTTTGAAGAAACAATCAGTTAATAGCAACATAAAAACAAGAATCGGAGAAATAATTATAATCCGTAACAAGTCAATCTATTACAATTTGACATGATTCTCATGATGAACCTCATTGAATTCACTCTCTCTCATCTCTCCTCTCTATTATCATCATCATCTTCATCTTCATGGGACCTTCAAGCTACGTAACAATAATTTTTGTGTATTATTATCATCATCACCAACGTCAAGATGATTATTATTTACAAACCAGTATTACTTATAATTAGAATCATGTAAATATTGAGTTTAACTAAAACGAGGTTATTACTTTTACCTTTACTTATGAATATAATATAACCTCAACTAAACTTTGATCCAACTTTCCACCTATTAATATACAATCCTCTCTATTTTATTAGCCATTATATTATATAATTAGCTTTAAATTAAATTGTCATTACCTTTTAATAACAATTAACATAAAATACACACACACACAAAAAGAAATGAAAACATGTTACAAATTCAATTGGATTTTACCTCAACTAATTTTGATGAATCTATTGTTACTTTGATCATCCTTTAACTAAGATTTTCTCATATTTGGATTAGTTAATAATAATCAAGTCTATTAATAACTTTATTTTAATTGTTAAACTAATTACTTTTTCCCTTTTCTCTCTCTCTTATATTAATCAATCATCACAGGAGGAGGATCAAGTTTAATTCCTGGCTCATCTTATTCAAGTCCATTCTATGGAGGACTTGGTTCATCACCATTAGCTGGATTGGGACGATATTAATTATCCCTAATCAACAATTAGCTAATTTCTATTATTATCAAGGATTCTTTTTATTCTAATACTTTATTAAGTCTTTCACCTTTCCAAACACCTTTCCACCTTCATCTAATCACCAATATCATCATTATCATCATCGACCCATCGATGTTATATCATTATCATCATTAATTGTAATGATAATGGTAACTCTTTGATTCTATTCTCATATAATATAAATATAATCAAAATTGTTTAAATAATAATAATAACTCTAATAATTGTTACTATTATTATAACATATATTGATTTGATTATAATATCTCAATGCTATAAGAAAAAATTACAAATTAATAATGAATTTTTTTGATTATCTCATCATCACCTCATCCTAATCATCATCATCACCACCTCCATCTTTACACCACTCAACAAAAAATTATGCTTTTTTTTAATTCCAACCTTTGTATTCAATTATTATTATTGTTAATGTTGTTTTTTAGTCCAACTTTGATTTTTTTTTTATTCTTTACCTGGATCCCTTTTATTAACATGTCTACAATTAACTTGATTAACTATTGCACTTTTCTGCTCATCTCATCAAATGTGCAATCAAACAAGACAACAACTCAATCAATTACAAAAAGCGACTCAACAACAATTCATTGAGAGAAATGAAACTGAATTAATCAACCTGAACTATTAACAATCAACCATCAACTTGATCAAACTAAATTAGGTTTTTCCAGTAACAGTATTATTTTTGTTTACCCAACCCCCACTTATTTAGATTTAGACCCGAAACTACAATTAACCTAAACAATCAAAAGCAATCGACAACAATCAACAATTAAAAATAATTATTGTAAATAATTAAAAACAAAAACATTGGACAAAATGATCATAATTACAATATGAAAACACAAAAAATAACAAAAAAAAAATCACTAAAAAACTATTGATTGAAATTGAATAAACTTTTTTTTTCTCTAAATTAACTTTCTCTCTCATTTCTTAACCTTGATTGTAAATTGTAACAATTAACGAGAAACCATTTTGAGATCAAGTTTAATGATGATGTTGAGTGAATCTCTCAATTAAATTGATCTTTTTTTTTGCGAGAAGAAAAAAAAACTTTTTCGTCAACGAAAAAAACGTTACGACGAAATCGTTACAACGAAATGATCATTACTTTCAGATCATTATTGAGCTCAAGTGAAGAGATGACAATTAAATCAACACCGTTTTTTCATGTTATTAATAAATTGTTGCTCTTGATCATCAGAAATTGTGAGTCAATTGATTTTTGAGGGAAAAAAATTTACTCGATCAACTATTATATTGATTTCGTTGACCTTTTTTTGTCGTATACCTTTAATCACACTAAAGAGTATTAATAATGATGATGACGATGATTAGGAGGATGATGATTTTATCATCATTATGAAGATGATCATCTTCATCATCTGTGAAATTTTCAATAAAAAGTGTTCAAGATTTGAAGACGAAAAAAAGTTCTAATAGAAAATATTTTTTTCTCTTTCGACTTTTTCATCTGCACTTGAAAAGTTTTTTTTCTTTTACTTTTTAAAAGAACTTTTTTTCTGTTCTATTTTCTATTTTGGATTCTTACGAACTGACCATAGGTCACCAATCATCTCGAACCAATTGATAAGCTAATCGTGGGTATCATGATGATGATCATCATGAAATTGATCCAGTTTCAAGAGATAATCAAGTAAAGAGATGGAAAGAAAATCTTACAAGCCAATAGATTCAATTCAATATCGATTAACTTTGAATCAGAATTTTTTCTCATTTTCGAAATTCTTTTTTTCTTCTATTCGAATTCACCTTTTTTCTTCTCCTATTTATCAATTATATAAATAATTCTATCGGTTCAAAGTTTTCATGATCAAATTTCATGATATCCGACTGACTGAATTTCCAAAAATAAATCAAAAGTTATCAATGAATATTAATGTTACCTCAATGAAATCATTTCTAAACTGAAAACTTTTGTCTCGATTTTAGTATTGATCAATTTTCGTTGTTTAATTGCAATTAGCTAATCACAAATTGCCAGCAATTGATTTAATTAACTTCTCTCGTAATCAAGTGATTAGATTATGAGTTAATTTTTCCCGAATAAATTAATTATGATAATCACGATTAACGATCAAGGTATTTTATTAACTGAAAGGGTTTTTTTGCTTGTTGTTGGGTTTTCAATGGTTGATCTTTATTGATTAACGTTAACAATTAACAATTAAAACAGTTTTAATTTACACACAGACACAATTAGAGAGTGAGAGAGGTTTACAATTAGTTAATTAATGTTGGTAAATATTATGATTAGAAATTAATTAAATGATTTTTTAGTATTAGTTGTAATGATTAACAGTTTCCAGATTTCAGTTTTGTTTTTAACTCAAGAAAATTAATTAATTGTAAGTGTATTTGTTTATTTGTTAACTTGATTAAGATTATCATGATTATTTAATCAAATTAGATTCTAGTTAATGATTAACATTAATAAATTATCATCATTGAGCTGATTGTAATCTGATTATTGCGTTGAAACAATTTAAACTTCATTTTAATTGTTACCCTGACCAATTTGGGACTTTTAGTTTAATTATTTTCAATTATCCATTCACATTGATTATGATGTGTAAATGTTTGGATGGAAAGAAATTAGTTAATTGTTACTAAACGTTTACTCCTGCCAATAATTAATTAGATTGATTCATACAAATCAATCCAATTAAACTAATCTAATGATACATTTGATTGCTAACAATTTAATCTCAATGTAGTCAAATGAGAATCTAAAAATGAGGCAAAAAAAAGCAGTTTTCATGTAACAATTAACTTTGAATCTTTAAAAAGATTAACTAATTGTTGTCAACTAATTCAAGCAAATAGCAAGAGAAACTTTTTAACTAATCATAGTGATAATCAGTTAATTGTTAAGAAAATGTTTTTTTCTGTGTTAATCCAATAAGATTAAAAATGATACTTAATCAGTTTCAATTAGTTTGAGGTTAGTTTAGTTTTTGATTAATTACTCAAGGCAATAGCTTATTGATTAGCATGATGATTAAATCTTATATATAATATGATTAAACAGGAATGTTTTGTTAAAATTAATTGTGATGATTAAGATTTGATGATTAAAAACTCAACTCTCATGATTGATTTTTCTGTCTGTGTGTTAATCCAAATCAAAAATTGTCGATCAATCCACTTATCCCTAAACTGGATTAAGTATAATTTGATTAATAAGCAAGTGAGAGAGAGAGAGATGAATGTAATATGTATTGCGATTATCGTATAACTGTTTTCTGTTGTTGTTCCATGACAATTAAATTTAATTGTCAACAATCAAGGTTCATCTGAGTGTTTGGCTAAAGCCAACAAAATGGTTGTCAACTCTTTCTTGTTAACTTTTCCATCCTTGTCCATATCACAAGCAGATAAAATTGATTCCTTAAATGAGCTCAAATCATTAGCATCATAATCCTACAATTAAATGGATAAAAAAAATTGATCAACATGATGAAACAATTAACTAATTACAATCAAAGAAAAGGAGTAAAAAAAAAGCGATTCACTCAAACCTTTTTCACCATTTCAAGAAGATCCTTCAAGAAACCAGTCAGCTCTTCATTTTCAATGGTTCCATTATGATCCTTAATTAAGGGAAACAATTAAATTGGAATTACAATTAAGATTAATCCACTATAATTATCATCTTTAATCTTCATCATTCTCATCTTCAAATGTTTCCATGACAACCATAGATGATAGAGTTTACCTTAGGAAAAAAAAATCTTTTTCTCTTCAGGTAACATATTAGTGTTTCTCTTGTTGTTGTTTTGATGTTTCATATGATTTTTTTGTTCCATCTCACATCTCAATCATCTTTAGGATGATGATGAAGACAAGGATGAAGATGAAGATACGGATGATAAACACTTACCTTGTCATAAACAGCAAAGACCCTTTCAATATCTTGTTTGCTCAAATTTGCTCCTTTGAATGAACTTTTTCTCAAAAAATTTTCCTTGACAGGTAACAGTCTATTATCATGGGATGAAGATGATCAACAAAAGAAATAGGTAAAAAACAAGGATGATGATGATAAAAGGATGAAGATGATGAAAGTTTATATATATATAAATTGTTGATCATCATTTTCATCATCATTCATCCTCCTCCTCCACCTCAACTATCAACATGTAATAATATAAACAACAATAAAGATCCAAACAAAAGTTATGCTTCACTTGATAAAACTATTTTTTTTCCTATTTAATTACAATTTAGTTTATATTGTTCAATCTAGTTGCAGTTTTAATCATGATTAACTGTTAATCATGATGAAAACTTAACCATTAACCTAATTATTATTGTGATTTCACTTTGATGATAATGATGATGATGATATTGATACTTGATATTGGAGGGTTGATGAGTTTGAAATGAAATTGATTCAATCAGTTGTGATTAAGTATCAATTTAAAATGTTTTAAATTAATTGAGCAAAATTATCGATGATTTTAATTTACTTACTTTGCCATTTCACTCAATTGTAATTTGCCATCTTTGTTTGAGTCAAAAATGTTCAATAAAGTCTCAGTATATTCATTCAGTTTTTCCTCAGTAACATTATCTTTTCTTGCTTCTTTCAGGAAATCACCAAGAAAACCCTTCATCAAATTGGAAAAATAAACAATTAATTAGTTAATCTATTGGTTAATCTAAACGAAAACAAATTAACAATAACAATCAAGAGAAAATTTCAAAAAAAACTGAACAACTTTTCATGATTCTCATTATGAATACATAAAACTGAAAGATCAAACTAAATTTGAGTCAAGTTAATTAGATTAACGATTGTTTCCGATAAAAATTTACAATCAGGAGCCATTATTATCCATACAATGTAGCTGATTAACTAATTATCCTTGTAATCAAAGACATCGAATCGAGTTGATTGTTACAATTAGTGGGATTTGAAAATTAGAAAAAAAAATCGGAAAACAAACCTTCAACTCTTCAGAGTCAATGTAACCATTTCCATCGTTGTCATATTTAGACCAGATCTGAATAGATTAAAGGTAAAGGTGAATTGGATTGGAAGATGATGATGATAAGGGCAATGATGATAAGAAAGAGAATGAGAGTGAGGAAGTTGAAGATAAAGAAGATTTTGTTATTCATGAAAATAAACATTGAACCAAGAAAAGAATAACTCATTAGATTAATTGAGTAAACAGATAAGCCAGAATTCAGGTAAGATGAAGATGAAGACAAAGATGATGAAATTCATTATAATACATTGGAATTGGTGGAAACAAAGGTAAAACCTTGGAAGATAAAGAAGAGAGAGAGAGAGAGCTTTTTCTTCTCATTCGATAAGCATACACGATAATACCTTTTACGATCAATGGATGTACTTTTATCTCCATTTATCATCATCTTTTCATCTTATCTTTATCCATGAACATGATGATGATAAAAGAAACAAATATTGTCCATCTATCAGAAGCAATGATATTATTAGACCATTGAATTCATTTGATGAAAAAAAAACCTTTTCAACGTTACATGGTAATCGACATGTTCAATGAGAGGGGATAAAGTCAAATTCATGATATTTCATCTGATTCTGTTACATGTTCATGTGTTCAGGTAAATGGAACGAGATTATCAGTTGTTAATAATTATATAATTCCCTTGAGGAGATTGGAAACTTTTGGAATTGCAACTTTTTGTTAAGTCTGAATTTTTTATTTTCTCATGGAAATTTTAATTCCAAATAGAGTAACTATCAGTTTCTATCATGTTGTTCTCGATTTAAGAGTCGAATTTTTCACTAATGTCAAGTTGGAACATTCCCTTTGGCAGAATTTCTGTCAAAATAGAGGAAAAAGCTGCTTTTCGAAAAACCATCGAATAAAAAAGTTCGAAAAAGGAGAAAGAAAATTCAATGGGAAACAAAAAAGTTCGAATAAGTTCAAGTTGTATCTATTTTCGAATTCCTAAATGAAATGGAAAAAAAGATAAAAGTTCTAACAAAGTTTTTTACCTTTTCGATTTGATAATGTTGATTATATGGGAGTAGAAAATTTCAGCAAAACAGCAAAAAGGAAAATTGCAAATTCGAAGAAAGGAAAGAACAATTTTTCTTGTTCTTTTCCATGATAATCATGATAATGATCAAGATGATGAAGATGAGAAGATGATAACAGTAATAATAACAATATAATACCTGGAACGTGATGAAAAAAGACCCGAAACTAAAGTTCTGGGAAACAAAAAGTTCTGATTCTTGACTCATAAATTATTTCAATCATGAATTTGAATCCATAAAGAAATTCATATTTTCCCATTACAAGGGAAAAAAAAGTTCACAGAATTGAGATTCTAGTTATTTATTGATGATTCAAGTGGTTGATTAGTTAATTGTTATCAACGAGTCTTGAACAAGCATTAAAATCATCATGAAAATGATGATTAAAATTCAACTGATATTATGAATATAAGATTAGATTTAATTTAAATGAGTTGAATTAAATTATCATCATCTGGTGTCATTGGGTTGGGAGATTAATCAAAGTTGATTGTTGTTGATTTAATTATGGTTTTAATCAAATTTATACTTTGACAAAATATAATCAATGTTAATCAATGCAAATGTCAAACAATCAAACTGATGACAATTGAATGTCAATCACTGAGCAACAATTAGCTAAACAAATAAATTAACAAAATCAATATTAGGTCAAAGTTGGACAATTAACAATTGATAAACTAAAACAAAAGGCAAAATGATAAATGAAACAATCAACTAATCACAATTGAAGGTTTATAACATACAATTTAATTGTAATCATGATTAAAATGATCAATTTAGTTTATTGATTGTTATTATTTTCCTTTACTTGTTCAATCAACTTTAATCAATTCAATGTAATAATAAATTATCATCAAGATTTGAACAAAGTTAAACAATATAATATATATGTTATTTACTTAATCATAATGATTAACCATCAATGATTAAACTGCCTAAGGCTATTTAAACAATTTAATTGAAATTCATGATAACAATCAAAAGGTTGAAATTAAATTAGATTAACTTAACCAACTATTATATTAATATTTGGGTCTATGATAAATAAAAAATAATAAAATTAGTTGATTACTTTTAGTTGATTGTTGATCATTAACTAGATGGAAAACAATCAAATTAATCAATCACAATTATAATCACAAGTACATTAGGTCAATGTGATTAGTTGATTGTTCAACTTTTCCTTATTATGATTGTTACCTGATTGTTGTTCATCAATTAATAACTTGACTATCATTAAGTCAACGGGTTAATTATTGATTGTTGTTGTATCTTAAATAAATCCTTTGATAATTATAATGATTAATGTTCACCATTGACAATCTCATTGTTAATTGTGAACACAATTAATGTTATCTGATATATAACGGAAATTAACGGTTATATCATTAACTTTGGTATCGATGACAACAATTAGTTGATTACAATTCAGCTAATAATCTGATTGCTCTTTACATAATAATAATCAAATCTAATCAACTTTTAGTATTTATGAAATAGTGAAAATATTCAATTTGATTGATTGATTTGCTTTAAATTTGGTTTATCAGTTTTTTTTCCTTCCATGAGGAACTATTGAAATTCATGGTAATCAGAAAGTTCATTCAGAACAATTTTTCTTTCTCGATAACCTTATTTTCATGGAGAAATTTAATATTCTTTTGAATCTGAATATATGAGTCTCGATTATACACCAAAAGATGGAGAATGAACTTTATCGAAGAGAGAGAGAGAAAAAGTTCTATTTCCATGAAAATCTTCTGGAATTTCATGATGTTTCAAACTGATGAATTACAAACAAGAAAGGTTGAGATTAAATCTGGTTAATCATTTGGAACAAAAGTGAAAATTTAAAATTCGAAACTTTTTTTTCCATGTGGTTCAACCTCGATAATATCATGAAATCTACACTCAAGATTATGATTCCAAGCAATTGATTCAAAACTAACACTTATCCTCAACCTCTGATTAAAATAATCAACTGTGATTATCACGAGCAATTTAAATCATCTGATCAATCATGACATGAAACCATGAAACTGTTACCAAGTTACAAAATGAAAAAAAAAGTTCTGAGTTGTGATTTTAAAGTTATCATGAAGCTTGATAATAATAATAATCCAATTCAATCAAATAGAAAATTTCATTGACATTTATCAATTTAATTCATATTTCAATTGATAAACTTATCATCAAAATTTCATCATTCATGATCAAGTTTCATAATAATAAAATTCTGATATATAAAATTCATGACTCTCTATTTATTTCTTCTGATAATGATCAATATTCATGATAAGAAACTCATGATGTGATCGTTAGATTGAACTTCAATCATTGAACCATTTGGGTATTGGTAATGAGCAGAATTTTGTTCTTATGAAATCATGTTAGAACTTTTTTGGGTGAAAAAAAAGTTCGAAATTTTCTAATAAAAAAAAAGTTCCAACAGATTTTCCCTTAAGGATAAACAGGATATGCTAAGTTATCACCTTGATGGAAAGATAATGAATCTGAGTGGAAATTGGATTGGAAAGAATTGATTCTTGGTGATTTAATCTTTTCCGAAAATCTAATTAAACAAATGATTCATGGTGATTGCTGATTCGAAAGATTTTTATCAGAACTTTCTGATAAAAAGAAAATCAATCTGATGGAATGTTAGAAGTTTGTTTGAACTTCGAGAATATCATTTCATGAGAGTTATCATCATCCAATCTGCAGAAATTCATGAGTTAATGCAGAGCTGAGTTCTGATCAATTAGCACCACGAAATAGTGATAATAATAATAGTAATTGATCATCGAAAAAAGGAAAAGAAAAAACTTCTAAATGTCCAAACTCAACTCGAACCTGAAGGCTAATGAATAACATGAAATGACCACCAGAAGATTAAAGATAATCACCTGAATCAAGTGGTGATCATGGAAATTAATGATAATTGATTAACAAGAATTAACAATGATTAAGTTGAAGGAAAAAAGTTCTGCCAATTATTCATTAGATTCAACTTATCAACAACAATGATTATCATGTTAATCGCCATGATGATGATGATTTATAAATATCATGTTAATCATCATGATTACGGAAACATATTATCGTGTAATAATATTCATTGGCTTTCAGAAAATGGATCTATCAGAATTTACGTTTACGATGAAAAGTTTTCGAGATGAAAATATTACCATGAATGATTAATCATGTAATAAGAATACATTATATGAACTTTTATATGTTCTTATTCAATGATAAGTAAACAATATTGTAAATATAATAATATCATGAGAAATCAATAATAAATAATAATAATGTTATAATATTATCGTTGGTGGGGAAAAGTGTAAAGTGAATATTTCCTGAAACTAAGTTTATGAGATTAATATTCAGTGTTCATGGTGAATTCATGGTAACTATGCAATTTATTTCAATGGAAAATTGAATTTCATAGTTAAGCGGGAACTAGAATTTTTTGAATTTTTGTTGGAAGAAAAAAAAATTCTTTCCTTTATTTCCGGAAACTTAATATCATTCAAGAAATAGATGAATAAAGAGAGTAACGGTAAACGTATCATATGTTAATCTAATCAGAGATTTTGTTTTCTCTCTTTGATTATCTTGATGATTTGATTTCTCTCTTGTGTTGGTTTGAATGGAGAAGGAAATTAGATGGTGAAGTTGAGAAAGGAGGTTACAGGTCATTGGAGGGTGGAAGAGAAGGTTGAACAAGGTGGAAGGTGGAAGGTGGGATAAGGAATGAAAGAAGATGAGAGAGAGAAAAAGGAAGGAAAAGAGAAATAAAATCTTTTCTTTCACTTGGAATTTTGTTCATCATTCTGAAGAGAGGATAAAAAGAACAGGGAAAAGGTAGGAGAAGATTGAAAGTGGCTCAAGAGGAGGTGGAAGAAAGAGGATGGAGGGTGAATTGGGTGGGTGGTGGGTTGAGGTGAAGGTGGTAAAATGAAACCTGACAAGATAAAGTAGTTGTAGTGATATAATATTATTGTAACATGGTTTTCCCACCGAGGGAAATATATCTTTATTAGGATAAATGTGATACACAATAACAAGATATTAGATACAACTTGACTCTGGTGGGTTCAAATTCATTGGTACTTCATGATAAAAACCTCATGAACTCATTATTCTTGGTTTTTATATATATATCTTAATGATTATGAGAATGATAAAATATATATTTAGCTGTGATCAAGATAATCTAACATATGTAACCTCATGTTGACTATTTATTTATATGAAATATTATTATCGGTGTGTAACTGAATTAACGTTCATCATAATCAATGAATTCGAGAGGTTTAAATGAAGAAACAGAAAAGTTTTTCTTTCTCTCTGTCAATTTTACTGTTATACATGGATGAACATCTAAGTGGACATAACATCTTGTTACTAATCTAATGGATGATGATGATGATGATGACAATTTTTATATTATCATCTAAAAGAAGGTAAAAGTTTTTATCCTTCTGAATTATCATTGGGATGAAATTGGATTAACTTTGTTTTCCCTCTATATGTATTTCTGACTGTGATATAATCTCATGATATTTTCCACCATGTTTCAAACTATGAATTAAGAATATGAAATGTTGGTACTCTCTCTCTCTCTCTTTCTCTCTTTCTCTCTGTAGATTAATTAATTAATAAGATAACTGTGATTGTCCTTTGCCACTGACATGATTTACTTGGAATGATAATTATTCTGAAGAAGATGATAATATGTTGAGAACTTTCAGAACTTTCCTCAACTATTATTGCCTCTACTGAACTTTTCTCTTCCTTGGTTCTATTGTTTTCTTTCCTGTGTTAGCTTTACCCTGTCATTGAGTTTGATTGAATTTTTCCACCTCACACCATCACCTTGGGAGTGATAATAATAATAATAATAGAGTAAGTAAAGGGGAAAGTGAAACAATTTCGAGGAAGGCAAAAAAAAATAAGTTCTAACAAAAGGTTCTACCTTTAAGATTTGAGGTGGAAAATATTGAAACTGTTTTACTTTACTTCATGAATTCATTATATATTAGATATGATATGAATTCTGAGCTCATGATGGAAATTGTCTGAGAAAGTTTGTTCGAGAATCGGGATATAAACATAACGTAATGAGAACAGTTCAAGTCAAGAAAGTAAATGCTGAGAAGATGAAAATAAGAAAAGAATTGAGGAAAATAAGTTCATCTTCATGATGATAATGATTATAAATGTCAGAATTTTTCTCGTCTTCTTTTTCATGATTTTCTTTTCCAAGAGTTTGCCCCAAATTTGAAAAAGACAAAATATTATCTTCTCATGGTGAAGGCTCTTGTTTCAGTTGAAACAGAAAACATCCCATCGATTCTGAAAACATTACCATGAATTCATGGGCAAGGTTGATTGATGAGCTTTAACTTGTATCTTCTTGATGTGTTACTATTTTTCTTGGAACTTTTTTTTTCTTTCTCTCTTCGAATCGTTTCTGTTCGGGCCATTCGATAAATTCGTGATCATTTTAGATTCGAAATACATTTATATCATCATCTTGTTTTCATGGTTCAGTAGGTACATGATGTAAGGATCATGTCAAATGAGCATAAGAACAGAAAAGTTCATGATAATATCCAAGAAATGGTACATAACTGGAAGGGAAAAATATTCGAGGTGGAAGAAAATTTTCCATATTTCACCTTGAGCAGATTTCAGAACTTTTTCGTCTTTTATTTCTTTTATCTTCATCATGTTAATCAATCAAATCTTCAAGCAATCATCTTAATCATCATCAGTACTCATCAGATTATAATATAATTCTGATTTCTAATGATAACAATTAACTGAAAACAAAAATCAATCTTAATCTCTTATCAACCAAAGTGAAAAAAAAGGAAGTTAAAATTTTACTGAACTTTTTTTTTTACTCTAATGAATTTTTCTTGAAACTGTATCACTGATTTTGATCAAATTTCATGGTGAAAAATTATTCATTCATGGAGATGAGTATGTTCAATGAATGAAGAAAAAAGGAAAATGATTAATCTGATTGTTACATGTTAATCATTCCAATGAGCATGATGATGGTGATGATAAACATGATGATGGTGTTGTTGTTGTTGCTAAATTGTCATGTTAACAAAAGGGATTCTTGTTAATATGATAATATTACAATTGAATAGGATAAAAGTTCAGTCTCAATGTCATGAGAATACTATTATCATGAAGACACAGAGAGAGAGAGAGATGAGGATGGTAGAAGTGGAAAACCAAGTTAGAGTGGTAATCACCTTGAATCTATCATGACCATCGCCATAATGTGTTGTAATATCATCTCGTTATTATCTGATTATTATCATAAGCTCAAAATGCAGAACAAAAGATGATGATGATGAAGAAGATGAGGATGAAACAGGAAGACAGATGATGGTTCATCTTGATGGTTAACCAAAGGGAAACCTGGAAAACCACCCACTTCCTCTTATGAATATTATAAGAAAATAAAAGAATTTTTTTTTCTCTTTTTGAATTAATATAATGAACTTTTATCAAGATTCCTAAACAGATAAACTTTCAGTTGATTATTATATTGCTTTTAATGGTTAATTTAATTTCATCTTCATCACCATGATGGTTATTATTATTACTATTATCATGATATCTGGAGTCAGACAAAAAAAGAGATAATAATGATAATAAATCATCACAAAGTGTTCGGAATCTCATTGTCTTGTGAATGAACTTTAGGTGAATAAGTAAAAAATTTCATTTTAACAGAAATTCATTCATCATGTTTACTATCATGACTTCACGATCAATCTTATCAATTGTAGCACAATTTTATTCACTGATTCGTAAACATATATCAAGCTCCCAAATGAATTCCGTGGTTATGAGTTTACTCATGAATCTTATCCCATTTTAAGCATTTCAAATCAGAATATGAATCTTACCTTCATAAAGTCAACAGATGATTCAAGGGGATTGTCAAAACGGAACAAGAGCAAAAATGATTCCTCCAGGGGCAACAATTGAGCCAACTGAGTTCCACCATGATGATCGGAATTAGAATCAGAATCAGAAAGAGAGATAAAAAAAATTATCATCATCATCATTAAGAGAAACATTGAATTTCTGAACACAATCAAGAGTTGATTGAGTTAATTATAACAATAATAACGATTGGTAACCATTGATTCATGACAATCAGCTGAGTTAATTGAGTTGATTTAGTCGCATGTGAATACAAAGTATTCATCACACACAGAATTATATAAATAACATGATTGTGATGAAAAGTTGCTGAGTAAAAATCCTGAATCTGGTGTTTATCATGATAAAGATATTGTATAAACAAAATGGATTGTTTTTATACAATAGAAACCAGTAATTGGATTCACCCTGAGGCAGTAAAGTTTCAAAATGTTCAGGTTAATTTCTATCGTAATCATCATCTCCTTCATGGTGAATGAATTTCTCAGAAGTGAAATGATGATAATTTACTGAATTCATTATCTAATCTTGGTGAAAAAAAAACAAAAGTTTGCACTTGTAAACGCTGATTTTCATGATAATATATTGTAAATGTAATAAGAAGTAACTTTGTTCATGACATGAACTTTTACCATGAAACTGAAGCTTCTTGTTTTTCCGTCCATGATAAACTCAACTTGTAATCACCACATTAACTTTAATTGAGGTTTCATCCTTGTAGAAAATGTTTTCAGCCTTCAAATAATTAGCTCGTAGCTGATCAATATCATCATGGGGAAACTGAGAGATATCATGAGATGGAATCTGAGCTTTCCCTGAATCTCTCTCTCTCTCTCTCTCTCTCTCTCTCCTTTATAATAGAAGAGAAAATTTTTCATATATTCTAATGGAAAATGTTTTTCTTTTTTATTTTTATTCATATTCTATTTCAATTCTAATCCTTTTGGTTAACAGGAAATTGATTCTGATGATGTTGAAAACACCAAATAAAAACTTCATTATCTTCATCCTGGAAAATGAAAATTTCATGATATAACCTCAAAAACATGATAACGGTTCAATCCATCGCCTGAGGCAGTGTTTACATCTCTATTTATAAATAAACATATCAAAAAGGACTTTGAATATAAGCCTTCAATTGATTTTTGAACTTTTTCATCTAAAGGTTTCATCTCATAAGATTTACCATGAAAACTCAACTAGTTATTATAATACTAAAATTTTCATTCCTTTTTTTTGTTTAGACAAAATTTTCCATTAGTTAATTGTTATCATCATCATGATAATTAACAATGACAATAAACTTGTATCATGAACAATTTAATCGTACCACTAGTGAATAACTGATTACCATGGGGTCAGAATGGAAATGATTTCAATTCCCAAAATTAACTACAATCAATCAAGTGAAAGATCATGATAACAATTATCATTGTTAGTTTCAAGAGTGATTAGCTAATTGTACCTAATAGCATTTTCCAACAATTTAACAACCTACACATTTACAATTAAATTTTCATGATGAAATTCACAAGCGACTTTTATAATCAGCTGAAGAAGGAGAAAAAAATTAAATCGTTACCTGGAACAATTTAATAAAAGATTATGAAACTTTTTTGCTACTTCGAATCAAAAAAATCGAAACGAAAAAAAGTTCTAAAAAAAGTTGTTCGATCAGATAAAGATTGTCATTTAATCGTGATGATTGATTAGATTAATCCAGTTTCTTTATCTAATTGTCGAAACTTTATCCTGAACATGATTAAGTTAATTATCTTTGATATGATCTGAATCATCACAATTTATCAGTTCACAATTTGATTACAGTTACTAATTGTTTCGAGTTGGTAATTTCACTTCCATCACAACAAGACTGATTTAACAATCAAACTTGATTATTTTTTTTTATCAACTCAGACAATTAATTTGGTCGGTCGTTACAATTTATCCCAACTACTTCATTGATTGTTAGATGTTTAAAATTGATCACAAAAAAATGGTGGTTGATTAAATTGATTAGTTCATCTACAAATCATAATAATAACTAATATGTATTAAAATGTTCGATTTAAATTGTCAACTAATTGTTAGCAAATAATAAGTCTCTAGTTAATCAGGAAAGTTAATCAAGAGAAAAACTCAATGGATAATAACTGAAGATATTATATTTCAATTTGATTGTTGTTATTGGTGATGAGACATTAACTGTCACAATGTAAAGATGACAATAGTAGAGGGAAAATCGAGAGTGGGAGATGAAGATGAAGACAAGGAAGAGAGAGAGAGAGAGAGAGAGAGAGAGAGAGAGAGAGATGGAGAAACTTGGGTGACAAAGGAAGTGTCAAGAATATGGTGTTACAATAAGGAAAAGAAGAAGAAAAAATGAAAAGAAGAGAATGATGATGAAAAAAAGAATTTCTAAAAATGGAAGCTAAATAATATCTTCTTTATGACAGAAAACCCAATAATCTTTCATCCATGGTGGGTGGTTGTGGGTGGGACAGTTGATGATGTTCATTCATGATGGAGATGAGCATGAGGACTCATCTTCATTTTAATGGGATATCAGGGATGAGGTGAAGATGAAGGTTATTGGCAATTTCAAGTTAACCGTTATTATTATTGTATTTTGATTGGTAACTTGATTGAGAATTGTAATAATAATCATCTAATATATATTACTCACCTCCCTGATGTCAATTTTACCATCCTTATTGTCATCATAAGCCTCCATGAAACACTCCTTGATTTCAGCCAACATGGAATCTGAAACAACCTTTGGAGTAGAGAAAAAAAAATTATTATTTCCATTTGGTTCTAATTAGACAACTGAAGAATTCGAGAAGAAAAAAAATCTTCCATTTCAAGAATCTTAAAATCTCATTTTCGTTTCAAGTTTCAGTTCCATTTTTTTTTCTCCTCAATTCTATTCAAATGCTGTTGGTGTTTTTTTCTGTTCGATAAATAAACAATTAACTAATGGAATCGAAAAGTAATTCAATTTTATTCATTGAATTTATCATCATTTTAGAAAAATGTGAGAGAAGGAGAGAGATGAACAAGTTCACAAAGTTGCAGAACTTTTTTTCGAAATTTTTTTTATCTTCATTAATTTCCAGTCTGTTTTTGTTTACCAAGGTTACTATTCATTTGAAACAATGAAAATAAACATTAACATGATAAAGATTAGTAAATTTTTTCTAGCTTATTCAGTTGGTCAAGCATGGGTCATCATCATCAACAACATGGAGATGATTAACATCTTGACCAATGGCTCATAAACTTATGAGCTCTTCATGGAAGGAATTTTTTCCCATTCTTAATGATATAAAAAAAGATTTCGAAACTGTATCATCTCCATGGATAAGTGTTCAGAGAGAGAGAGAGAGAGAGAGAGAGAGAGAGAGATATTAGCATGATAATGATTATTCGAGTCTCTGTCTGAGCTCGTAGGGAGAAAATCGATTCGTAAAGTCTATCAACAATCATCATCGAATCAGAACTTTCTATCTATTATCTTCTATTTTCATCTTATCTCATGATTCATGATCTCGAATTCAGTGTTTAAGCTTCCAGATGAACATTCAACTTCTGCTACTATTTCATGAATCAAGGTTAGAATTTGAATCAATATCGTTAAACGATCAGGGTAGTTCATGGAGTATCGGTTGAAAGAGTTTATCATGTTGAAACATTTTCGATTTCAATATAATTCCCCTGTACTTTTTTCAATGATAAAAATTCAACATTGTGAATCATCTTCATGGAACCAGAACTCATGAGAAGGGGAGAAATAGTCGATTCATCATTTTCTCAGATGAAGATGATGCTTATCAATGAGCTTTTCCCAAACAAAAAATTCAGTCGCATTCCCTGTAATCGAAATCCCTACAAATCTCATTATCCTCATGTAGGTTCAGAACTTTTTTTTGAAAAAAAAGTTCTTCCTATTATCCTGTTATCCAGTTTCACCCATTGATCATGTTCATGGTACAATTTAGACTCCAGGTAATCAATTAATCATAGAAAAAAATTGAATAATTTAAATTTTAATTCACCAAAGTATTCAAATAGTTCACGAAAAATAATTCATGATCACCAAGTGAGATGAAAATAAATGATCATTAAATTTTTTACAATTAAAATTTAATTGTTTCTAAGTCTTGATCCTTGATCATTAAAAATCAACTTAACTGACCAATTAATCAACTAATCAATTAAACTTTCAAGAAGTGAAAATAATTAACAGATCAATGCTGTTGATATAATCAATATTATCAACCTTTTAAATATGAATGATTTAGTAATTAAACTCAAGTATATATTAAATTTACTAAATGAATGAATGAATGAGTGAACAATTATCTTAATTGTTGTAATCTGATTAGTCAACCAACTATATTTAGTCAAGTGTTTATAGTTAATTTAATTAGTGTGGTTAAAACATATTCACATAAAAAAAAACAAACCTCAAGGTTGATATTGATTGGCAAAGAGAAACAACAATTTAGTTAATCATTGATTGTTATGAGAAAGAAAAAAATGATTTTCTAAATAATCAAGATAATTATCATCATATTTATCATCATTTTCATCATCATCATCATGTAATTAATGTTGTTACCTGAATATTATGTTGACCAGGTAAAATCATGATTCCTTTTACATGATAATCTTGATTAGTTATCATGTAATGTTATCAATCCTCTAGAGGGATTTTGATGAGATGATTTATATTTCAACACGATTAATCATCTAATATTTTAGATTTGATTACATTTAGAATGATGATAAAGAAGATGATGAGGAAGATTAGATGAAAAGAAAAAAGTTCTAATTCGAAATAAGCTCACAAGTTCGAGTTCGAAACTTTTTTTTTCTTATCGATTTTCCTTTTGAAATTATTAACTTGAATTGGAAACTTTTTTATTCTTGTTGATATTTTGTTGATTTTTCTTTCGTTTTCTTAATTGTTAACTGATTGTTTGATGGTCACTTACCTCTGGACGAGCATCGATTGCCTTGACCGACGAAATGAACTCACGAAGAAAATTGTCCAACTCTTTACCTTCAATGAAACCATTTCCTAGAGGAAAAGAAAACATTGTTTCATATTAGAACTTTTTTTTACTTTCGAACAAAAAAATATAATTTTTTCTCTTGTAATAACATTCGATCATGATTAAGTTGACAATTAATTCCTAATCAGTAATGATGATACATTTACGCTCATCAATTATTCAAGAGATTGAGTAACAATAAAAAGGATTAATACTTGAAATTAATTTCAGCTAAAATTAACGATTAATTAGATTAATTAATAGTCGAGAGTTAATTTCATCTTAAGTTTTTGCTTATTAATTGAAATTATTAGTATGTGATAATCATTTACGATTAAGGGTTAATCATAATCGCCTCAAAGATTAATATTCATGATTAATACCTTCACGTTGAAATGAATATTTAACTTGATAGCTAATCCTTAATAAAGTTTAATCAAACGATATAAGTTAATCAAGTCAAGTTAATCAAGTTGAGTTAACAATTAACTAATCAACCCTATTAAATATGTTAATCTGATCCAATATTTGAGGTAACAATTAACTTGGGAAAATTAATCAACGTTTCAATGGATTACTAGGTAAATCAACAAGAAGAAGAGAATAAAAAGTTTTTCCTTCTCTCGAATTTGTTAGAACTTTTTATTAACCTTCCATCGAATTATATAATTTTGTTTCTTTTTCAATTTTCTTTCATAATAGTTAATATTAATACTTCATTCATAGTGATTCTCATCAGAATTTCAGCTTTTGGAAACGATTCAAAGTTTACCCTTTTTCGAGGACTCACATCAGGTTACATTAGAACTTTAGTTCGAGGTTAAGTCGAATTGGTTTTCATCGCTTCTTTCATGGAAAATTCTGATCACGAAATATGAGATTATTTCATTATCATCATGTTGAAACTTTCATGATTCCATTGAAACAAAGTTCACACCAAAAAGTATCTTCATTAGTATTAATCATTATCACCATGAGGTGTCACATTATCACAACGATTATCAGAGTTATCCTGATGACACCATGAACTTGAATCCATGTAATTTGTTTCAATTGTAAAATCAAGGAAACAAAAGTTAACATAATTAATCAGTTGATTGTGTAAAATTCTGACAATTTTTTTGTCTAAAGAAATTAACTCGATAAGCTGAGAAATTAACTTTTAATTTGATTTCCATCATGAAATGAGTTAGATAATAAATGTTCAAGATGAACTGAGATTCAAATAATAACATGATAAAAGAAAAGGTTCTGATATTCAAAGCACGATGTTATCCAAGTAAAGTTCTGAATGAAAGCTCATGATATGTTGAAAGATTGGTATGTGTTAGTACAATGATAATGAAAGATGATAAATAAATAATGAGAAAGTTTCATGAGAATCATCATGAAGCTTGAAATGAAAGGTGAAGAGAGAGAGAGAGAGAGATAAAAAAGTTCAATAGATGACAAAAAGTAAATAGATGTTGATATATGAGATTATAAAGCAGAAACAAAAAAGAGAAACAAAAAGTTAGTCTTAGATTTTGATGAGATGAATTAATTATCTGAATTCAATCAGAATCTGAATGTGAATCCAAATTATCACCATGAGAGAGTGAGAGAGAAAGAGATCGACAAAACAAACACATCAAATCTAAAAGTGTCAAACCAATGTCATGGAAAAGAAGAAGAGAAACAAAATGAAGAAAATTCTTGCCTCAAGCTCACCTGTAAATATGATGAAAAGGAAAAAGAGTCACCATGAAAATCATCAACTTTTACCATGAAATAAATTCTGAAAGGCTGTTATTATTACATTATTATTATCATCCTTTTGGTCATCATCAAGTTTACTAATGACAACATTAACTTTATGTGGATTTATGGTAATGTCAATGTCAAATGATTTCATGGTGAACATTTATGATGGTCAGTTTTGAGAGAGAAAAGTGAAATTGAGTCAAATCTGGGAGCTAATGATATGTTTTCATGTCAAATTTAATTATTTACAAAGGAGAAATATTAATAATCTTGAATTTGTTGTTTTCGAAAGAAAAAACCACATCTATTAGTGCACAATTTAGTCAAAATTCTGGGATTCGTCAGTTTGAACCAACAGAATTCAATCTCAATCTTAAGATGTAAGATGATGAAGATAAAATAATAATCAAGATAATCTGTTGAAGATTTTCATGGTTTTTGTTTTTTCTTAGGTCTGAATTTTCAATAAAGGAGACGATGAAAAATTCATTACGAACTTTTAAAAGTTCTTGGTAAAATAATTCTGCAAGTTTATCGGGAGGATTTAGCAACTTTTTACAATTCTTTTTGCTAGATAATCCTCACCAAGTTTTTCTTATTGTTAATCAGTCCTATGAATAAGGAATAGAGAGATTAAGACAAAGAGAATGAAAATGAGAGAGAGAGTTAGGGAGAGATTATCATGAAGAACTGAAAACTAATCAACTACGAATTCAATTGAAATTCATAACAACTAACAATTTTTTTCGTAAACAATGGATCAGCATTCATCTCATTCCCTGAGTGTTGTAATACTGTCATGATATTTTACGATTATTAGAAATCAAGGTTATCGTTTATTTAATTGTCTTTATTGATCAAGGTGAAAAATGGTTCGAAAGGATCAATAGATTAAATGAATTAACAATTAGAATATTTTTTTGTTTAAATATTATCTTTTTGAGAATTTATTTTTCTTATCTTTTAGTATCGACATTGTTTATGGAAGCTTTCAATTTATCACCACAGTTATTGCATAATAATAACAAGATAATAATAGGAAAAGAAAACGATTCCAACTCAATGATAACTCATGATGAGAGACTTTTTCATTGATAATGAACCTTTTCCGTTCTGTCTTCATGATTAACACCATGTAACTCAATTGAAATCGAACGTTGTTGGAATAAGAATATAAATGAAATGAGAACAGAATTTTATCTCTTTGACTTCGAAAGACAATTGGTGAATATATTGGAATGTTCATGGAGTGAGGAGAGAGAGAGAGCGGTTCAAAATTCGAAATCAGAAAAATTGGAATCTACTTATTTTCTTTTATCCTTTTAGTTGATCAATCACCCTGGGAATCTGATAGAATTCATTCATTGATTCTATCAGATTTATCTGACCATGGGGACTAATTGTCATGCAACTGATGGAAATTTATTCTCCAATATTCATGATGAATTTTCAATCTGAGGAAATTTTATCATTTCAAATTTTTCCCATTCGAATCTATTTAAATATGAGTTAAGAAAAATTGTCTTGAGCTTATTTCAAATTCCACCATGAGAATTGACTATTATTACCATAAACATGAATTGGTTACTCACATTCATGTTTATCTTCATGTAACCAAGATGATCAACAAAAGGACAAAAACATTTAATATTAAGATTTATGGTGATTATCATCATGAAAATGTTATATATACTTGAGGAAAATTCAGATTGTTAATCAATGCTTGTTGTCATTAAATTGGTTATCCATTCATTCATGAATCAATAACAATTGTATCAGAATTGATGATTGATACATTATTCAGAGCAATCAGATAAACTGAATCCTCATCACGCTGTCATGAGCTTGATGATAATCATGATTAACATTTGATATTTACCTTGAGATGGATTTGCTTCAAGAAACATACAGATGAATTTATATCAAATCAATTGATTGCAGAATAATTGACTGGATAAAATTTTTCGAAAACAAAAAAATTTTCTTTTTTTTTCGAAAAATTCGTAACAATATCAATTCTATCAAGTGAAATGTAATCTGACTCTAAATCCGATTAGTTAATTGTTTCACACTGAATGAATCTAATTCTCCCCTAATCGTAGCAACTCTTTTCTCTCCCTGAATCAATGAAAAATTCAAACCGATAATCCAATGAGAGAACCTGAAATTATCCTGATACTTCAGGTAAAAGATTTCATGATTATCCTGGCGATGAGAAAAGAAAAGTAATTTATAATTATGTAAATAAGAATGAATCAAGAAGATGAACTAAGATTCTGATGATTAGATGGATGATAATTGGAATGGATATAAAATCAATTGAATATCCCAAGTCAATTAAGATGGACTCAAAGTAACTTTTCTAATCTCCTTTTCATCATCATCATCATCATCATCATGGAATGAGCTCATTTCATCCTCATCTTCTTGAGATGAAGATGTAAAAACTTTGGCTTAAGAGAAGCGGAAAAAAGAGCTTGCTGACTTTCAACAATCTCCTCAGAAGATTTTATCTTCTACCTGTAAGCTACTTATCAAGGTAAGAAAAAAGAGACAAAGATGATGATAAGGATGATGAACATCTACACTTGAGGGTAGGAAAAGAAAGGAATATATAAAAGACAAAGATGATAAAGATGATAAGGATGATAAGATAAACAAGGAATTGGATAAAAACCACTAAATGGGAAAACGTAATCAACACAATTTACAGTTAATATTATTATCTATTAACTCGAGTAATAAAATCCATTCCCTTACCTCTATTCACACCTTTACCCTTTAACTTTTCCCACCTTGAAATAATTTCCATGATATAGAATAAGAAATTCATGAAGTTAGAACAAAAAAAAACTCCAAGTCTAAGAAAGTTCATCATATATCGAATTGAAAAGCTACTACCAACTCAGAATATTAAATAATAGGGAGGAAAAATCGTTCCGAGAAAGAAAAGAGAAGCAAAAAGTTCTGAAAAATTCCTAAGACAAATTTCCATTGAAAATCATTGGAACTTTTTTCTTCTTGTTTCTCATTCTTTTCTGTATATTATACTCGATTCACCATGAATTCAGAGGCTTCTGGAATATATTTTTTTTTTCAGGGAAAAAGAATTGGTTAAAAAAGGTAAATTTGATAACATCATTTACTGTTCATTGTATTCAGTATTCATCATCTCAGAAAACAAACTTGAAACATCAAGATAATGATAACCATCACAATGATTATCATCATGATCTCCATGAAAATCATCATCATCATTGACTTTATCATTATTATGTTTTCTTTTCGTTTGAAGGTAGAGAAGAAAAAAATTTCCAACTGAAACGGTTCAAAAGATATTATTTAATGGATTCTGATTCTGATTCATGGTGATGATGAGATAATATTATATTCATTGTGATCATTATCTCATATCATGAGTTTTCATCATCATCAATTTTAAGTATATTCATTTATAGCATCGTCTTGATGGTTATCACTTTTGTCTCAGTCAATTGGTCAGTAATATTTATCATATATTATTGGACAATGGACTAGAGTTTACAGAATTTTTAACAAAATGAAATGTTTTTTTTTTCATTCTGAATTCCAAATGAAGAAAAAAAAACTCAAATTCCATGATTATCCCTCTTCTATTAATATATAAGCTTCATGATGATGATGATAATCATGATTAACTGACAAAAGTTTTTGGTATTAAATTTGATGATCAACCATTCATTTCATTTGGAGAGATTCATTTTTGCTATCATGTTATCGTCATGGTGGAAATGTTAACCCACCTCGTTGATTACAGGTCACCCAAAGGTGGGGATTTAGTATATCAACTCAATTCTAATCATGATCTTCACCCTTTAATCAATCTGTTAAATGGTAGGTTGATTTTAGGAGCAATTAGCTTACCAGTTAATTACAATGTTGTCAACAATTTACTTTGATAATCAGATGATAATACAGAATTGGAAGTTGTAATAGTAATATTGAGAGAGAGAGAGAGAGAGAGAGAGAGAGAGAGAGAGAGAGAGAGAGAGAGAGAGAGAGAGAGAAACGAAAAAAAGTTCCAAGGTCGAAAATGGGTGAAAAAAAGTTCCAACTATAGGATTTATATGTACATGATGGTGAGGATATTCACTGATAATCGTTATCACCCTGAATAAATCATGAATACAATTTAAATCAATAATGTTAATGATTAAAAATGAATCAAGACTCAGAATATTAGATGGAGAGAAAAAAAAATTAGAATACAAAAGTTTCGAGTTTCGAACTTTTTTCCTCTTTGTCTTCGAACTTTTCTATTTTTTCTCTTTCGATTTTTCTTCTTCTCTTCTATTATATTTTGTTCTAATTGTTAGATTTTGTCTCTTTCCCTCAATCATCTTTATCCTTGATTGTTGTTAATTGTCAACTTGATTGTTATATATTATTACTTTTTCTCTGGGTGACTCCCTTTCATACCAACTAGTAACTACTACTAATGATTAATTGTGATAATTAATAATGATGCTAATTAGATTGTTTCGAATATTTTTTTTTCTCTCTCTCTCCTGATTTTCTGTTAATTGTCTACCTCTAATTGTATTGGATTTAATTGCTTTGTTGTCAACAATTAAAATCGTCTAATCATTGGAAATCATAATGATGATAAGTTGCTTTGTTTTATCACAATGAGTTAGATTTATTATCAACATGATTAACTAAATCATCATTTGCTTAATTGTAATGATGTTAATGATTTTAAACCTTTCAACTTACTTTCTGACAGCTACAACTAAACTGTAAATGATTAGTAAATTATCACATATTAATTGTTACATCTCTTCAGTTTTATCTTGATTGATGAGGGCTTAATTGTTGTTGATTTATTTAGTCTTTTCTTTGTTATTTAATCTCTAATCAGTTTGTTATTGATTTTTGATTATGATAATAAAGTTAATCAGGAATCACTTTGAATGTAATTGATTGATTTCATTTGAGACTCAAATTGACCAGAAAACTTGATTAACCTGATTGACCAGATAAACTGTGGTCAAAATTGAGAACCTAAATCATTAACAATTTTGTCTAGCAAATGAGCCAAATCGTAAATATCGAGGGTTAATTAGTTTTAATTGTTGAAGAAAATTAACTTACCATCATGGTCATAGTGACTCCAAACCTCCATGAATTGAGCTGAGGTCAAATTTTTCAATTCCTTAGTTTTATTATCACGAAATTGGCTCATAAAGTTGCGTGATAATTTCGCATTGGAATTGGCGTTGGTTTGAGTTGGTGTTGTTGTCGAAACATTGTTGTTAATTGTAGTCGAAGTTGCCATTGTTATTATCGTTTGTTTGTCGAGAAGATTTTGATTATAGTTAATTACACAGAGGAACAATTGAAACTTTTGAGAATTAAGATTTTTGGTTAACTTACTCTTCTAACGGTAAACAAGTGAATGAGAAATCAAATCAAATGTCTATGGGAAAAAAAGGTTATTCAAGATTTTGCGCACAAATTTTTCTCTTTCATCAATCTTTCATTTAATTAGAACACTTCGAACTTATTTTCGAATCGAAATCATAACAATAATAACAATTTCGATGAAATAAATGATAATTTACAGAAATTTTCTGTTACAAGTTAATTTAATTTTCGACAGAATTTAAATTTTTCCTTTGATTATTTGACTTTCCAATTCACCAATAAATCCCATTGATCAATCATCATCGTCATTCATTATTATCATGGTTTAATTGTAATGGTAATTAGTTGATTGTTTGTTCAATCGTAATAACAATTTACAAATAAACAAATTGAATCGCAATTTAGTAAAAATTTATTCTTATCATTGGTTAGAGTTGATTGTTGATTCTATTACCATAGTTAATAAATTTCCCGATTATTGTGATTTATATTTAAAAGGGTCAATAGATTAATTGGTTTTCTCGTTTAACAATAACAATCAACTAATTGTCAAGTTCACTGATGGTAAAGTTTGTTAATCATATTAAAAGCTTTCCACTTACGTTAATAATTAAATGTAATAATAAAATCAAATGGTTAAACAATCAATAGATTTACTCAAGTTCATAGTACTCAAATTAATCACAATTCCCAAAGTTAATTGTTATCAGAAAATTAAATCATTATCTAAATTAACTATTCAATTTTCCATTAAATTGTTTCTTCATTTTCTAAATGTTTAATCATCTAAATTGTTGATTAACTGTTCAATCCACTGGACTTGACAGTGATTATCAATTTAAATTAATCTCTCATTTTCCAATTGCCATTATCACTTGTGAGTTAATTACTTTTGAATGATTAATGACAATTAATGTTAATGGTCACTTGATTAACTTGGTTTCAGAATCACCAACCATTGGCTTAATCATTGTATCTTAATTGTGAGATAATCAATCTTAATAATAATCTTTAATTGTCTTTGATTAACATTTTCTTTCCATTTAAATTGCAACATAAATTTGTCCTTTTCTTGTTAAAGGTTAACCAAGTGTCGATTTTTTTTCTCAATTAATTGTTGATTTAATTGTAGAATATATCATTCCAAATGTCACATTTAAATCTGTCCTGAGTAATTGAAGTGAATTTAATATCCTTTAAACTGTTAATCTCTCTCATGAAAGGGATAATCCGACCGGAAGATAATACTTGGTATGATGTCCATCCGGGGTCACCGGTGGCGGCGAAACGTGAATAAATACTGATCAATTGGTAACTTTGACCTCTATCGGCACTGGTGAAATCTTCTGGCCTGGTGTATGGAATTCCCATCATGTAAAGTTTATCGAACCCGTGGCGCGCTCCGTAGGTTCCACCGGTAAAATCGGGTGAAAGGTATTTCTTTAAAACGGTTTCATTGTAATAAGTGAATTTACCGAAATAAACGGGATTCCGTTGATCGGCGGCCAAAATATCAGCGAAATAGTAACTGGGACAGACAAGGTACCAATCACCAAGGAGAGTGTTGTAGTTTTCCAACATGGCGGAACTTGGTGCAGCTTCGTAGCCTTTACAATAGGTTTTGATGAGGTCATTTATGTAGGTTGCGTTATTTTTACCAGGTAAGAGTATTGATCGAGTTGCTGTTAATTGTTGGGCACAACCTGTAACCGTTGGATTAGTCAGTTTGGGAAATTTTCCGTAAGTGGCCGGAGCGAAACCTTCATCGGTCACTATCCAGATTAAAATGGGAATCGACGGTGACCATTGGCGAGCGGAAAAAAGTTCTGGTAATGATGATTGAGGAAGAGATCAGATTCGAGAGTGGGGAAAAAGGCTCCACCTCGACCACCATTTCCCGTTAGAAGTGAAGTTTCTGGGTCAATCGCTGCTGTGGTCAATAGAAGAGCGGGTTTCGAGCGAAGACATTGTACAACTTGACCAGTGTTCATTTTAGATCCACGAACGTAACATCCAACCTTTATAGCGATGGCCTGAAGTCGGTTTAATGCTTCTTCCTTAGTGTCAACCCAAAGTACACTTGGTCCACCCGAATCAGCCACCAATCCGGAAATGAGTCCATTTGTTTTACCCGAAAGGAAAAGCATTGAAACAGTCAAAGCACCAGAAGATAAACCATAAAGTGTGACCTTTGACGGGTCTCCGCCAAAAGCTTGGATATTTTTATTGATCCACTTTAAAGCGGTCAACTGATCAGTAATACCAAGATTACCGGGAGCCTCGGAATCACCGGAAAAAAGGAAGCCCAAAGTACCCAATCGATAGTTAAGAGTGACCACGATAACATTACCAATCGCTGCGAGTGACCTGCCGTCTGTCCACATCGCATCAGCAGCGGAATGCATAATAAGTACACCTCCGTGAACATAAACGATAACCGGTAGTAGGTCAGTTTCATTTTTCACACCAACCGGCGACCAAATGTTCAAATAAAGACAATCCTCTGATCTGACCATTAATCCACCACTTCGTCGGATATCATCCAATGGACCTAATAAAGGTTCCCAACAATTAGGTCCATACCCGTTAGCCGAATAGGTTTCATTACTGACCTTACTTATCAATCGAGATGGACGAAATCTAAGATCTTCAATTGGTGGATCGGCATAAGGAATACCCTTGAAAACTTTGACCTTAATCTTCTCGACCGTTTCAGTGTAACCTTCGATGGTACCTTGAGGTAAGATCACTTTTGGTACATCTTCCAAATCGATACTATCAACAGTATCGACATTGGAACTACTAATATTGACATCTTTTCGTTTAATTTTCTCACTTAAATCATCACTAATTGTACTCACATCATCGTTAATCCTTGGGTCAGTTGAATTGAAATCAATTCCACCAATTTCAGACTGACCACTGACCAAGTTAATTAAACTAATCAATTGAATCACTAATGTTAACAATATAAGTACCAATGGTTGACGTTGATAACTAATCATTGAAATTAACTTAGTCATAATTTGGTTAATAGTAAATATGATTTAACAATTTACACCATGTTAGCATCATAGGTGTTTAATTGTTGGATTAAAACTCTGGATTTATCAATAATTAGAGGAAATAATTTACCAATTAAATGGTTTTCTCATCAATTTTTTCAATACAATCAAATTGATTTATTAATTTGAATCTCGTTTTACAATTTATTCAATTTATCAGATTTCAATTCTTAACAGCAATTTAATTATTTCAGCAAAATAAAAACAAAACAATTAACAATCAATAGAATCACCAGAACTTTAATTGTCCAGTTTTAATTCAATTTCTTATTGGTCAGTTGTTGATTTTTTTTCCTTTCTCAATAAAGTTGATTTAATCTCTTCAGGATTAAGATTAAATTAAAATTTTCCAAAAAAGAAAAACGAAAATTTAATCCAATTGATTAACTAATCAATTCGAAAGTTAAATCATTAACAAAGTTAACATTTTGTTTCCATTTTCATGGTCAACCTTTTCTGCTTTTGGTCAGTTGATATTCTGATTAATTGATTATCAATGTTTCCAATTTGATTGATTAAACTTTTTTTTTTACAATCGAAATTCAAAAAGGAGGAAAAAAAGAATTTCAAAATCTAGAACATGATAAATGTTCTGAATTCTGGTTTTTCGGTTAATTCGAAAAGAAAAAGAGAGAGAGAAAAAAAGGAAAATGAATGTTTTCTTTTCTCTTCTGTATCAATATTATCCAATTGTCTCTCATGAATCAATCCTGAAAAACGATTATAATTAATCACCAGTAAATCTACATGATAGGTAAGAAGATAATCTTTCAAATGAATTTCCAATCATCAGTTAATTGTTTTTCTCTGTTTTCTTTCACTAGGAATCACAATTACAATTACAATTTGTTTTCTCCATTCTGTCTCTTTCTTTTCTCTTTCTTTTTCTATTTTTTTGGGTTACTTCTGGTTCCTCTTTCTATCTCTGTCTATTTTATCTCTCTCTTTCTACAATTTCCCTTTCGACTTCACAATGTTTTGATCTTCAAGTGTCATTTGGTTTTCTCCTCATTCAGTTCACCTTACCTGTGATCCTTTACTTACCTGAGATCAATAATCTTTTTTGTTTCCTTGTGATCAATCTGATGAAATCTTTTTGCTCCTGGTTAACTCAATGGACTCCATGTATTTATATTTACATCTAATTGGTTATAGAGAGATTCAGATTCCATGAATTTTCAGGATCATCATCATCATCGCCATCATTAGTTTTCCTTCATCATCTCTTACCTTGTGTGTCCACCTTTGGATAAAAGCATAATAATAATAATAGTAATCACTCAACATTGACCATCGTCCATGATCATGAAAAAGATCTGGTCAATATGATTGAATCATTTATCCATTATGATTGTAAATATGTATTATTATTATTTTCATGATATTATTCATGATTACATTTGATTAACCAGGAAAAAGCATTAAGTCAATAACTTGTAAGGTAAATTGAATAATCAGCTGATTGTTTACTCTAAATACATTTGATGATAATCAACCGTTTATCCAAATAATGACCAATGAAACAAATAATAATAATAATAATTATCACTACGATTCGATAATTAATCCAATCAGTCAATGGGAATTGATTGTTAAATTTATGACCTCAGTTCGTGAAAATAATGTTACCTTAGCCAAGACAATTCTTGATGAAAATCGTGGTCGATTTGATCCCGACGAGTTTACCTGTCTCGATGAATGTACCTCACCTTTGGCCATTGCCATCGAACGGGATTATCCCCAAATGGTCCAGTTATTGATTAACTTTGGTGCCTCAGTAACACGTTTCGTTAACGGGTCAAGTCCACTTCATCTTGCCGCTCTCGGTGGCTCATTGGAAATCGTTAACTTGCTCATTAAAGCTCATGCCAATGTGGCCTCCGTTTCAAACTATGGTTCAACTCCGTTACATTTAGCAGCTCAGACAAAGTCCCATGGTATTTATCATTATCATTATTATTGTTTTCTTGTTTATCACAATTTATTAATTGCTCATTTCTTTTAATGCATAACCAGTGTAAGGTTAATTATCTCATTCAATCAATTATCGTTAACGATTTAATTCCTGTGTCTGTGTTATATTGATTGTTGTTTATTTCTTAATGGTAAATCTCATTGATGAAAGATGAATTTTCGATATTCCAAAAGTGATAGAACTTTTTTTTTTCTTTCGAATGTTATTCCATTTAGAACATTAATCAATCCTTTAATATACTTGTTTCTATTAATATATTGTTTTTCTTTCCTTAATCATCTATTCCCATTCTCATTTAGATATTGTTGAAGCGTTAATTGTGGCTGGAGCTCCATTAGAAAAGACTGATTCTGATGATCGAACCCCTTTGGCCATTTCATGTTCTAATAATCGTATCGAATGTGCCAGAGTATTGATAACCTATGGAGCTAATGTAAATGTTACCGATAAAAATGGAAACACACCTTTACTTGAATCTCTTAATCAATATCTTGGTGTTAATTATGATCTGATTAAATTGTTACTCGATTCTGGTGCTAATCCAAATCATATGAATAACTTTGGACAAATACCTTTGGTCAATGTTATTCGAAGGTCAAGTGAAACAAATCTCGAAGGTGCTCTCTCGGTTAAAGAGCTAATTGACCACAATGTACTTATCGATTGTTCCGAATTCAGTGTTTCCGGTGAGAATGCTATTCACTCAGCCATCTCTCATAATCAACATCGACTCGTTGAGATGTTAATTCGTGCTGGTGCTGACCTGGAAATTAAACACAACGGACTAACACCGTTGGATAGACTTGCCGTTTATGGACAAATTGACCTGGTTAAACTGATCCTTGCCGCTGGAGCGAAACCTCAACTTGATAAACAAACATGGCAACAATTAAGAGTCCGATCTGGAAATGATTATCGACAAATTATCAACACAATCAACGAATGGACGTCAAGTGTACCAACGCTTGCGAAAATTTGTCGAATCAGATTGAGACAATTTCTTTCTCGAAAAGCTGATCAATTGATTACCAATCATCTTTTGATACCTTCATCGATTCGTAGCTTTCTGTTATTCAATAATCTTTAATAACAATTAACAATCAACTCGACGGCGACTTTATCCTTGATTGTCAATCGATCAATACAATTGAACACAACAAAAATAACTCAATTTAAATTGTTCTCATCTACAATCAGCAGTATCACAATGAAACAATTAAACATTGGCCAATGTTAAATATCAGCATGAAAACAAACAATACTAATCGTCAACAATTAACTTCAACAACAATTAACAAATAACTTGAAGGTGATTAATGTTTTGTATCAGTTTAATGCTGGTTGTGTTTGTTAAATTAATTTATGGCATATCATCCGGGAGTTAATTGTACATGAAAAAATTAATGATCAAGAAAATAACAAAAAAAATTAGTATTATTATTGTTAACAAATTATATTGTAATTAAGGCAAAAAGAGTTAAAAAAAAGTTAATATGATAACATTGATTGTTATTTATTGGGTTTGGGTTAGTTTTTAAAGGTGGACACTGAAGCCAGCTTAAGTGTACTCGAAACGGCCTTTTGAAGGGGAAAGTTTTTGGCCTCATCTTCCCGACAACTACCAGTCCAATCGTCGTAGTTTAGAGCATAGGTCATGACACCGCCGAGTCGATGAGCGGCTGAATATCTTGATTTGATTGAGAGACTTCGTTCATTTTCATAGGAAATCCAATCATAGTTTCGATGGGCAAACGGAACTTGACCTTTCTCATCGAACTCACTGATTCCACCGTCTTTAATGAAAGAACATACTTGAGTGTAATTAATTTGACCTTGACCTAGTCCTGGACCAATACTCGGTGAATTAAAACCTTGACCAAAAGGAAAGGCCAAATTAAAGGTTCGAGCAAACGTTGGAACGCTCAAGATTAACTTTCGAATGGGAATTTTTTGCTTCATCCAAAATTTACAAACTTCGTCCTACAATTAACGAAAGCAATTTAATTAATCATTTAACAAAAAAGTACAAATAATTAATCAATTAACTGTCTCAACAAATCAATCTCACAACTCAATCTGTTAAAATCAATTGTGTTACATTCAATATATTTAATGATTAAGTTTGTCAATACGATAATTATCATGTTAATCCTTAATTGTTATCAAAATAAACATTTAATTGTTGATGCTAATCAATACTCACTGTACTTGAAATATCAATACCCGAATGAGTAGTGACCCTTGGGTAAAGTAAACTGTGATGTCCAGTGTAAGGTTTAGCCTCGGAATAGTAATGATAATCAAAGGTTAACAGGTTTAAATAATCAACACTCCTGTAAAGGATAATTAACCAGTTAATTAGAGGATAATTTAAAATTTAGATAAACAATTAACTCACTTGACCAATTCAGTTATATTGTAATAATTAGTTGCGATATCTGGATGACCGGAAACTGTGGCAGTGATTAGTGATTCCAGTTTACCTTTTCTTAAACACTCCTTGCGAGTTAACTGTTAATCAATGGAAAGTGACAATTAATATTAATAGGAAGCAAATTAGTGTTTGATTAATTGATTTAGTCAATTACCTTTAATAATGTGATCAGATCACTTTTAGTTTCCCGATATTTGGTCTCGTTTTGATGGAGCCTGAAAAAGTCAACACCGTCGAGTTTGTAAAGTGTAATGATCTCAATTAACGATCGGACAAAACGATTCCTCATCTCTTCAGTGGCCAGTATATTATTACCATCAGCTGATTGACCACTGGTCATCTTTGTTATTGTTGTTGAGTTATCCTTAGATTGACCCATTCGGACGGAGAGTAAGATTTTTAAACTTGGATTTCTGGTCTTCAATGAAGCCAATTCTTGTAATCTTTTTTTGTTAGTTTACAAATGCAAATGATTAGTTAATTGTATTGGATTAATATTTAATCGATTGATAATTGTTACAATTTACCTTTTAACATCGTTTTCTGGATTTTGGAACCAAATTAAATTATCTGGTCCAACGTAGGCAAATCCAACGGTTATTTGATCACAAAGTTTTGGATCAATTTTATTAACTGGTAAGATTATCCCTTTATCCGGATTATCGAGTAAATAAAAACAAATTGATCTAAATCCTTTTTGTTTAATATCCTCTTGTAGATTAATCATCTCAGAATCGGACACAATTGAATTAAGATCAACCATTTCATCACTTTGATTTGAGTTGATTAATTTAATTGGTAGACCAGTTGATTGGCCCATTTTTTTGGTAACAATTGAATGGTGACCATTAGAATTGGAAGTTGAACTTTTACCTCCAGTTAGTTTGACCTCACGATAAGTATAAGTTGATGTACCCTTAGGGTTAATTACACCTCGAATTGGACTAACGGTTGGACTAATTGAGGAGGATAGAAAGTTAAATGGAGCAGCGACTCGAATTGGTTTCAAAGTGGATGCTTGAGTGACCAGTGTTGGTGCAACCTGGACCACTGCTTGACCAGCGGGTATTTGTGAAAGTGTCAACAATGGCTGATGTGAGGGTTGACCTTTAAACTGATACCCACCGGTCATTATACTATTTAGATTTGCACTCTCAGGGGGTCGCGCTGATATTGGTAACAAGATCATTGGTGAACTAGATCCAGTTGAGGCCGGAAATCCCGTTAGTCCGGTCAATCCTTGTAATCCAGTTAAAGAGGGCAAAGAAATTGGAATCGGATGAAGCTGAATTATTGGCTGAATGTAAGCTGATGATGGAGATGAGGATGAAAACGCAGATGATGAACCTGATGTAATAAGGGAATGGGATGAAGATGGAGATGATGAGGATGATAAAGGTGATAAGGTTGTTAATAAATTGTCCACTCCAGTGGGTGGGGTCAGTGTGTTGGACAATTGGAAAGTGAATCGAGGTAAATTGTTATTTGAACGAACCGAAAATGGCATCGTTGTGTTCATTAAATGTCGCCAAACGGTCATTGAGATTCCATGCATCACAATTAACGATAATAAAGTGCTAAATGGAGCCGCCATTATGGTTAACAATTAACTAATCACTTGTTGTTGACACTTTTCACTTTTCACTTTGATCACAATCAAAAAAAGGGAATCAAATCAAATTTAACTATGTAAATGTTTGAGTTATCAAAAAGTTTTCAAAGTTCTTGATTGTTCAATGATCATCAAGAAACTGTTCTGATTGTTGTAAGTTGATTTAATTCAAAAGTGTTGATTAGTTGATGATACAATTAACTGTTATCCTTATTGTCACCATCATCTTTATTAGACTGATTGATTGATTGTTTGATTTTCATTAATCACCTTTGTCTTTAATTGTTAATTTATTTCTGAAACGGTTTGATAATCATTTTTAAATATTAAATCAAATGATCAACAATTAACTATCGTCTCGTTTCAATTGATTCACCCAATTGATTTATTTTATCCTCCAGGAAGTTAATTAATTGAATTTTCTTGATTCATTCAATTTTTATCTTAATTGACAATTAACAATCAATATTAAAATATTCACGTTAATTGCTATTGTTAATTATATAATCTAACTGTAACTTCCAGGTTTAACTTTATTAAAGTTAATCACTGACAATTAAACATTCACTTTCTAATATTTGGTTAATAATTAAGATTTGCTTGATTAACAATAATGATTACAATTTAATGACACGAGCTGATTAAATTAATTTATCATTTTAATGTTAATTACCAATCGATTGTCAATTAATTGTTTCATCATATTGGAAAAATTAAAAAGTTGATTCAGTTTATTGTTTGCAATTTAATCTTAAGTATTTAAACTAATTGTTGATATGAATACATTTTTTAATCACTACTATTAAGATCAATATTATAATAATATAATTAATTGTTGTAAAAAGTTGATGATGATGATGAAAATTTAATTGTGAATTGATGATTTAATTGTTTTCATGGCTTTTGCAGTTAATTACAATTTGTTGTCACCATTGCAAGAGGTTGATTCAATTGTTGATTTATAAATTAATTTGATAATTTGTTAATTGATGTTATAATTATTACATTCAGTTGACCAGATTTAATTTAGTTAATTGTTGCTTGACCAGTGGCTACTCAATCAACAACATGATTTGTTATAAAAACTGATTGATTTTATTTACAACTTTCCAACAATCAATTCTGATTGTTGTCATTTAATTTAGATTTAAACATTTGAAACAATTAACTGCATCTCTTAATCAGTAATAATAAATTGTTTCTTGATTGTTGTCATATTCACATGATAATCTAATACGTTTCCTTGTAGTTAGTTAATTAATTGCAATTAATCAAGTGCCATCGTTAAATTTATAGTTAATCACAATCAACTTTAATTGTTAAATGTGATAACAATTTAACTTCTGTGTCTTTCATCAAACCATTTGGTTGAACAATTTAAGCTTAATTAACTTCATCAGCTGATTTGATGCTTTAAATCATCAAAAGTGGAAGCAAAAGCTTAACCAAATTGTTTGCTTTTAATTGCAATTAAATTAATAACAATTATTAAGGAGAGATATTGATTATCACATGTTAATTGTTGACAAGTTTAAACCCAAGTTGATGTTGCTTTGATTGTGGGTGTTGGTGGTTGTGTTGTTGTTGATGAGGGATTAGGATAAAATCCGGAAGAGATTAGATGTTTCTTAATCTCTTTTGATCCAATGAATGTTAATCCATTTTTATAATCATTTGTTACTTGGAATGGGATTGTTGATGATGAATTGATTGCTTGATTGTTGTTATTGTGATTAACTGTTGTTTCCTCCATGATATCATCTTCCTCGATTGGTGGACACATCACTTCGAGTCGATAAGGTGATCTGTAGATTCGTCCATTGATTACTCGGGTTCGAGAGTCGCGAAGTGTTGAAGGTGAAGATGATGAAGATACTGGGGAAGGAGATGATGATAAAGGTACTTTCAGGTGAGAGTGGACAGTGGGTGGGGTTGTGGATGATTGAGGTGAGGGTGTTGATGAATTTGGTGATGGGAGTGATGATGCAATTGTAGGTGATAATGTTGAAGGTGTTGGTTGTTGAGGTTGGGACATTTCATTTATCAGATTGTTGGTCATTGAAATTGGTGAAGTTGTCAAAGGTGTCGACGGCCTTGACCTGGGGCTGTTTACCGATGATATTGTTGAGATTGGAGCAGCTTGAAGTAAATCTTTGGCTGAAAATGTTGGCTTATGTGTTGACCCAACTGGACGAGCGGCGGCGATTAACTTTTTGAAATCGTGAATCGAAGTCGGTCTCATTGGACCTAATCGATCTGAGCATAAACTCCGTCGGCATCTTGGTCCATCTTGATTTCCCTGGTTAACACCAGGTATCATATTGTCAAAACCATTGGTCATCTCTTTGGTAAATGACCAACTACGCCGTTGGTTTGGTGATAAAAGGTTCGGCGGTGAAGGTAAGGGCTCACTTTGTGGCGATGTTATTGGTGAGGGCGAACTGTTTGCCGACCTTTGGCCAAGTCGTCGCTTAGAATCGTGAATCAATGAAATTAGGTCACTTGTTGATAGTTTACTTTTCACCGCTCCAGGGCTGATCAAAGATGAACCTATTGGTGAGGGTAAATCACCGGATGTGGGTTGATCAGCTGGAGATGTTGAATTTATGTTCACCTTTAGAGCATCTTGGGCCGATCGACGTTCTAATGACCCAAGGCCAGAAAAACTGTGCCGATAGATGTTGAATCGAGGCTTAGGAAATGTGGGTGGACCTACACGTCCACTGGTAGTTGATGGACTAACGGTTGTTGGTGTTGTATTTGATGTCGAATTTGATTCTTGAGGTAATTGTATCCTTGCAATGGGCCGTCGAGGTGTCGATGATAATGGGCCCAAAGATGAGGTCAGTGTTGGCGGTGGTGAAATGAATGATGAGGATGAGGATGACGATTGATTTGATCTATTCAAATCTTCTGAGGTCATTGTTGGTGATGTTTTCATGGATTCGTTTAATCCTGAGCTTTGTTTTTCAACAGATTTTGTACAATTTTTGTGCGCTAATTTGTCAATCGTTGTTGTCGCCGTTGTTGGTGTTGATCTTTGACCGATCAAATATTGATTTTCAACCTTTGGTTTCGGTAATGTTGACCATTTGGCATTTTCTTCGTCCATCTTTTTCGTCCTTTCTAAATAGGCCATTGGATGATCATCACGTCGCCGTCCAAGTGAATTCGATGGATACAATAGTCGACCATTAGAGTCCAGTTCCACTTTGACCTGTTGCTGTTTAATTTTGTACGGAAGGATCAATGTACTTGGCCTAACACAATTAGAATCGTTGGTTTCGACCTTATCATCAGATTTACTGTCAATAATTTCGGCTTTCTCATGGCTTGGTGATTCTGTCACTTTCGCTGATTGTTGATCTTCTTTAGTCGATTTTGGTTCTTTTTCCATCTCTTGACCTGAAGTACGACGATTTTTATCATTTTCTAGTTGCTCTTCACTTCGTGATCGAAAGTCCGTTCTTAGTAAAGATTGGAAAAATCCTTGATCAGTAATCGGCTTTGGAAGGTAAGGATTGGAATCAACTTTTCGTAAAGTGGCCAAATTTTTCTCAATAGATTGCGACTTGTAAAGGTCAGTTCCACTTATCGAGTTTTGACCATTAAGAGTTTTCGATTGGTTGTAACCAGGGATCGATTCACAGCCCGATGATCGACGAGATGATGGACAATGAGTAGTAGCTGATTCTCCCTTTGGATCGGTACAAATGGACTCATAGGACATGAAACCTTTTCTATCATCAACGGAGGTCACTGGTGAGATTTTCGATTTTTTGTTCAATGTTCCAAAAGAGAAAATTTCTTTTATCTTGAATGGTTTGTACGAAGCGAACAATTTTTTCGATTTCTTTTGTTTCTCTTTAGTTACTGGGAGAATTTGTTTATCAGATTGTTCATTGATCTTTTCGAGATTCTCATCGGCGGAACTTGCACCATTTGAACTTAGATGATCACAGTTATCAGATGAAGAGCGAGAAGCCGCTGGTGAAGAGGAGACAATTTTAGAAGACGAAGAGGAAGAGGCAGATGAGGAAGATGAAGAACCGGAAGAAGAGGAAGAGGTAACATTACAAAGAGATGGATAATCTGTTGAACCAATACAAGTTTTAGATCGAACTCGTTCACCAAGTTTATCACTTTGTTCTGATTCAGAATGGCCTCGAATCGAAAGTGAAGATAGTTGAGATTGAGATCGAATTGAGGTATAATCGTATTCTCCATGAGGAGAAACGGACTTCGACTGTGGTTGACCTGAGGAAAGATTAGATTCTGATGATTTTGAATGTGAATTAATTGTATTGCTGTTAACTAATTGATTGGTGTTCTTTGAGTTGGTCGAATTGTTTTTACGAATACTGGACATTCTAACGGGAGGTGGAGGTGGGACAACTCGTTTAGTCCACTTGGCTGTCGATGAAAGCGTTAAAGACGCTGATGAAGATGGTGGAGGCTGGTCAGCGGTTGAATTTGCTTTATTAGTTGATCTTCCGGGTTTCACTGGACTCGTTTTCTTGATAGCACCAGTGGCAGTGGTGCTTGTTGAATCGGTTTTATTACTTTTGAGTACTTGTTGGTGGTGAGATGGGGAAATGGAGGGTGAGGCTACACTTGACGCTACTTCAGCTGGTGCTTCGGTGTCCGTTTTCGAGTACATTGAGGTTAGACTCATATCGCCGATGGTGCTGTTTGAGCTGATTGATGATGCTCGAAGGCGACCATTGCAAGAGGTTCCCGGTGAGGTTAAAATGTTACTTTCATCACTTGGTGAGACGACGGAAGATCCTCGGCCCTCACTAACGTTCACAGGTCCAACACCAGTTGATTTAACATCACGGAAAAGTCCAGAATCGGTGTGCATGGAAGTATAATAACCATCAGTGTCCACAGAGTAAACCGATTCAACTTCATCATCAATGTGAGCAAAATCATTGGCACCATTTTGATGGTGTGGGTGATGAGGATGATGAGGAAGATGTAAAGGTGACCTATGGTGGTGAATATGATGATAGGCATAAGGATGAAGATGATGAGGTGATTCGTTTATCATTTTAGTTGGATTCTGTTTACAAACGCCGTTATTAGTACCGTTGGTTTCATTGGCAGCGGTGGTAATGATTTCGGGTGTTAAAGTTTCCGTTGAACAGTCAAAATATTTCAACCAAGATTCTGAGTCTCGATTAGCAAATTTAATTGATCTTCCGCTGGTTGAGTGTTCAGAATGTTGGGAAGATGATGATCGATTCAGAGATGAAGGTAATAGTCCAGATTTTGACGAGCGAGTGACAACCGCTGGTTGACCATTCGAACCACATATTGCACTGTAATTTGTCTCTTCTCGACTCTTTTCCAGGCCAGATGGACGTCGCTGGTCTGATCGACTCAGGGCACAGGAAGATGAAATTGCTGAGGTATCGGATACATAACCATTGGAATCTCCGCCAGCGGTGTAACCGCCGCGATCGGTGTCTTGTTGAGTGGTTAAGGTTAAACTTTCCGACAGAACGGAATCTTTACCCAAAGATGAACCAGACGGTGAACCTGGAGGTGGACAGTTACTCGATCCTCGTAGATGGTGATGATGAAGATGCTGATGGTGAGTTCTAATCCCGCCAGTTACTGTACTACATTTACCCGCAATTGAATCTGAATCAACGGATGCATGAGTTGAACTAGAAGCTGACCAGTTACCGCTCGATGATCGTCCATCATCACCTGGTCCTTTGGCCGTTGATCCTTCTCTCATTTTAATTCCGTCGGAGGTCAGATAGTTTTTCACTTCAACGTTGCTTTGTTGTTGCTGTTGATTGGAAGCTGAAGATAACCGCTTTTCGACAATTGTAGTTCCACTTGTACCAGAAACATCACTAGAGGTCAAAAGACTCGAGGAGGAAGGATCTTTAGCCGAACTTGGTGATCGACCCACACCGATACTGTTCCCAGTGACAGTGATTGATGATAAATTATTAGGTCCAAGTCTTGATGAACTTGTACCGATTGATTTAACAGTAATCACGGAACCACTGAAAATGTCACTTCGATCGTCTTCCCGATGAACCTCAGCTCTAAATTCAAGTTTAGTTCCACCAAATGATCGTCTTTTGATCACCGATTCTCGGCCTAAACTTACAATCCGTCCAGTTGAATAAATGGCCTCTTCAGTTCGCTCAGTTTGACAACTTTCATCAATACGATTCAAAGACGATGGATCTGAGTTTCGTCTCTCACGATTATATCTCGAGGATTTCGGCCTCTCAGTGGTCGCCGATTTACCAGTTTCGTGAATAGTATTACGTCGATTGGCGCGTTTATTTCGAGATGAAATTCGTCGTCTTGGAATCTGCTGATCACCCTGTAAATGGAAAAACAATAAAAAAAAGCAAGATAAATATCGCAAATTATTGAAATGTGATCGTAGCAATTAAATTGTGATTACAATCAGAATCTAAACAACAATCAAATTGTGTATTTGGCTGAGAGAGAGAGAGATGATTGTAAATGATATATCATCTAAAAGGCAAATTAAAATAAATTGTTTACCAAATTATCCTAATATCGTAGTAACAATTTAGGTATCAACAATTACACAGACTAATTTAGTGGTAAACAACAATTTAACTTAATCATTAGGAGAAAATCAAAATTCTAGTAACTTGACTGGCACAAGTCAAGAGTAAATAGTTAAAACTCAATTCTAACATGATGATAATGATAATTATAAAGATGAAAAGACAGAAAGAAAGTAAGAAAGAAAGAGATCATTCACCAAGAATCTTCATCATCCTCATCTTCATCATGATTATCATCAAAGATGAGAGGGAGACCCTAAAAATAGCGAGTTGGCGACCTGGAAGGAAACCTTTTTAAAATAATATATAAAGTTCATAGATAAACGATTAAAATGGTTGAAATAATATCCAGAGAATATAAGAAAGAGACAGAAAAAGATGATGAGAATGATGATGAAGATAAAGATGATGATGAAAAGAAAAGTGAAGAAAAATAGTTGACAGTCTTCTGAAGTTTTCACGGAAGAAAATTGTAATAGTTATCAAGAGTGAGAATAAGGATGAGGATGAGGATGAGGGATGAGAGAGATGATGAACTTACAGAGGCTGAAAAAGATAATAGTTACGGATGAAGAATAAGATGAAGATAAGATGATGAGAAAGGTAAACGATGATGATGAGATTTAATTGGGGATGATAATGATGTTATAAGGAAGAGAAACAAAGTGAAACTGTTTCAGTGAAATTGCAACAATCAACTAACGGTTTAATCAACCCAAAGGTTTATCATTAACACTGAATTTACATGCGTTCAATCAAGGTGATACCTTACGCATCCTCATCTTCATCATCATGATTATCACCAAGATATTATTTTCATTGGAGAAAACTTTTTTCTCTCTTCCTTTTTTTTATCATCAACCTTTGGAGGAGATTCAAAGAAAAGGTAATAACAATAATGATTCAAGTCAATCAACTGGAAGATGAAAATTTCCCGCTCTTTCAATTTCTACCATCAAAATTGACCAGGTCAGCTCATTTCTGAAAATAAATGACCACTCGCTAGTCTATGGTCAACATGGGAATCAAACTATTACCTTTTTTTTACAACATGTTACCTTTTATTTCATCACAATTCATTCAGTTTATTACTTATCATCATTCAGCCATCATGATGATGGTGAGAGAGAGAGAGAGAGAGATGAAAATCATTTGATTGGAAAATGACTATTTCTATAGATAAATTGTTCCTTAGTGGGAAGTTAAATTGTCAATCAATAAATTGTTTGGTTGAACAGTTTTTATGATTAATCTTTAATCGTAAAACTATTGTGATAACAATTTTACATGATGGTATATTCAGAATCATTTTGATATTAATATTGAAAGTTTTATTTGATTCATGACGGAGGTTGAGTTAGACTAGTTTATTAATAAGGTAAAATTGATGATTAGCTGATGAAATTTTGATTCCATTTTCAAAATCAATTTGATTACTTTCAGGATCAATGGGATGAAATTAATCTAACCCTTGATAATAGATTGAAAATCTACAATAACAATAGATTATCATCATCATCCAAACCACAATGGAAATTTATTTCCACCTCCAATCTTTATCATCTCTCTCTCTCTCTCTCTCTCTCTGTCCTTTATTTAGTTACATAGAGTTACAATCGAGTCTATTTTTTCTCTTTCTTTTGTATCTTTTCATCATTATCCATTTGCATCATTTACTCTAACATATCTCTCTCTCCCTCCCACTCTCATATGCTTATCTAGGGTCTCATCTCATTTTCTTCCTCCAAAATAACTGTAACTGTAAACTTCATCTTTTAGCCTCATCTTCATTAACTCTCACGCTTCTTTCACGCTATATTTACACTGGGACTAATCTACTTCCGGCTCTGTGGTAAGCGAGAGAGAGAGAGAGAGAGAGAGAGAGAGATAGAGACTTCCTTTTCATCTTCATTTTGACTTATATAAATGAAAATATTCCGCTACTGTTAATAGATAATCTCTAATTGACCTTATGAGAGAGAGAGAAAGATAGACTCGAGATGATGTTGCGATTCAATTAACTGATGTGATGAGAATAAAACTTACGTGAATAAGTGACCGGCGAAAACTGGACATTCGCTGGAAACTGGAAACATCTATGGGAATAAATGAAGCTGGATATTCCTGAGCAAGAGCTTCAGTAACCTCTTTAGGTGAAGGTAGTTGATAAATTGAATCAACATCAGGTTCATCATAGACATTAATTGAATGATTAATTCCATCACAATTAAGAATTGTGTTGTTAAAATTAGTAGTGGTCAAGGTTGTGGTATCACCTCTGGTCACTGTTATCGGTGTTTTAACTTTCTCAATCAACACTGTTCGTGGTAATTTAACAGCTCGAGCCAATTTCTCAGGCTGAACATTTCAAAGGAAAGAAACAAAAACAAATTGAAATTAATATAATCAATCAATCATAAGTTAAAGGTCAACTGGTCAGTTTTATTTACCTTTTGTTGTTCAATTTCAAGGATTTCAACCTTACTCTTGGTGTCGGCGAAAAAGGGTGACCCTAAGTAGCCATTAAGATGCTTGTAATCATCCAATTTAAATTGATTAATCGGTGAAATCGATGCTTTTTCATAAGCATATTGGATACATGGGGCTCGTTTTTCCGGTGTGAATAAGTTACTGGTCATCTCGCGAGTCACCTTGAAGTGGTCAGTGATCCTCATGAAATCGTTAATTGTCCCAAGAGCTAAGAAAAAGAAACAAAATGTTACAATTAGAATTCAATTTGATTACAGTTAAGATAATAATTCCAATCGATGAGGTTAATCATCTCTCTCCCTTTTGTAATAATTATCACATTGGCACGAAATTAAATTTACACCAAACAAATTATATTAATTATATTTCAACAATTAACAACCTGAGGTTAATCATTATACTGTTTTTATTATCAATTTACCTTTAATTGTTATTAGCTTTCTATTGATTTGTTAAAGTGAAAAATGAATTTACCTTCAAGGTAAACAAATAATTGTGATTGTAAATGATCAAGCAATCAAAACTTATGATGATAATAATTATCATCGAGCATTAAATTGTTACCAAAGCAATTTAAGTCTATAGTTGGTAATCAATGTGACCATTAAAAGGAAATGTATAATTGATTAATTACCTTTGATAATCATTATTATCAAGAAAAAAAGCTCTGATTGATTAGTTGATTAACAATCAAATCGGTAAACTGATTAATTGTTGATAATCATCTGATTAACATCAACAATTTGAATACCAGTATAACGGATATGCTGGTTTTAATTGTTGATAATAATTATCAAGGTAAAGGTTAATCTAGTTACCTAATTATTACTGTCACAGACAATCAGTACGAGAAAATAAATCAATATAAAAACCCAAAGAGTAACAATTAACTTGATTGTTAATCTAAATAACAGTAAAGTGTAATTCACCTGTAAACAATTAACAAAAATGATTTCATTGATTTATAAATCAATCAAATTAACTAAAATATTATTGGAAAAGTTGAACAATTCAACTCTTTCAGAGGAAACAGTTTTTTATATTAAATTGTTGGCGATTATCTTGACGATTGTGTTAATTTTCCTGGCGATTTCAGTGATTTATTGGAGATTAGTGAGAGTCCGAGGATCAAGAAAAGGTAAGATGACCAGTAGATAACAATAGTTAACTGAATGGAATCTTGATTTACATTCACTTCTTTGAGGTCAAGTCTTCAGGGTGTTTAACCAGTTTGACCATTTCCTTTTTCCACCTTTAGGTTCATCTCTTTCACAATATTACAATAAAACACAATCAACAACATCAACAATTAATCTAACAAATTGTTAATTGTTCACAATGAAAATGGTTTGCTATTATTACTTGATTTACGCTCTAATTGTCAATCTACCTATTTGAACATCAAGGTGTACCTATGATCGTGCCAATATTATCACTATAACATCAACTTCCTACATAAAAAAAAAAGTTTTCCAAACATCATCTTAATTCATATAAACATAAATTCATTGGAATTGAGAAGAGAGAAAAAAAGTTAATTGTGGTTCTAAACAAGATTCATTATCATACTAATCAACTTGATTACCTGTAAAAACTTTTTATATGTTCAACTTTGCATGATGAGAGTTTCCAAAAAGTAATCATCATTAAGGAAGACAAATGAATGGATCATCATCTTCATCATCTTCATCTTTAGTAGCTGTTGGTTTTTTATTCTGGCTTAATAGTAGCCATCACTGCCCACACATCTCATGTCACCTCAATTGAAAGTCAATAATGATGAGCAAAGAAAATGATAAAACTCAAAGATGATGAGAAGATGAAAACAAATCATATTCATCTGTTCTTGTATTGATATAATGTATTTAGATGCTATTTGATCATCAGGTGATAACGACTTTCCCTCCATCAAGATTCATTCATATTCATGTAAATATCTTTCGCCCCTGGGCGTTAAAATTTCATCAAATATCATGTTAATCATGATTCTATCAAGATAATTATGAAGAAAAAAAAAGAATTTTTAAAAATTTTCTATTCGAAATTCTGTTTACCAAGTTGGATAGAATATATTTTTTTTCTTCTCAAATTAGAACATCAGAACAATCGTTGAACGATAAATCTATTGTGAACAATCAAATTTAACCATCGAAGTTAATTGTTGTGAGTTTTTGGTTGAGAGATGAACAGAAAATTCTATTGAATTGGAAAAACACAATAAACGATTGTCATGATAAACTATTGCCAAGAATTTACTTTACCATGAAAATCTGATTGTCATTTGATTGGAAAGAGATTAGTTGTTGATGATGATGATGATAAGGGATGATAAAGAAAGAGGATTAAGTGAGCTATGATCTAAAGATTATAAAGCCTTTGGTATGATGATATTATTACGATGACATTGACACAACAATTGACTATATGTTTTGATTGTTTAAATTGTTTACTGATGATAAAGAGAAACATCAATTTGATTAACAATCACACTGGACAATACAGATTAATATATAAAAAAATGATGATCATGATGATAATGAAACAATGATGATCATGATGAGATAATCTTGTTATCATGTTTATCTTAATCATTAAATGAGGTAAACAACAATCAACCGAGAGGATACAGAATTGAGCCTAAATTCATTGATCATCAATCATTATAATAAACTAAGATGATCATCAACAAGAATCATGATATAAGCTGAATTTAGAGATTAAGGATCTAAGATATGTCATGATAATGATTATCTGAAATATGAATAACCAGCAAATACACAGAAATAGTTTACAAAGTTTATATTGGTAACAGAGTTTAGAGTAACGGTAAATTCATGGGACAAACTGTAAACTACAATTTCCAGAGGCGAAGGGAAAAATAGTGACAAGGAAGATGAAGAAGGACAAAAATAGAAGTCACTATTTACCATAGGAAACAATAAGAACCTGGAAAAGTAAACAAACAACAATTTCCTCTCTGGGTTACCTTTCGTATGACCCACCCCTGGACCTCCCACAACACCCACAAAAACTTGGAACCAGAGAGAGAGAGAGAGAGACTTTTCCACCCTCCATAGGCGTTGGCCTTTTCCATGGAACTAGATTCTTGAATAATATCCTCATCTTCACCTCCTCCTCCTTTCTCACTCTTCCTCTTATCCCTCTGCATGGTGATCGAGGTGAGACTTTCCTTTTCCGGTGAAATTAGACCTTGAATGAATAATTCAGTTCTGATAATCTACAATTTTAATCGGTTTCAATATCCTAATCTATGTAATTGATATGATTATTATTCTGATAATAAGTTTTGAATCTTAAATGTTAGTTAATTGTTTCTGTCAAAATAAACATCATGTACTATTTGTTGCCCTTGCAACTTGAATGGATCCGACTGACCACCAACATTGTTAAGATTAATTAATTTACCAGAGGTAACAATTTATTAAGAGCAATTGTATTAGTCAAGATTAAGATGATAATTGCAATGAACCGACCACAATAATAAAGTTAATAGTCCAAATCGTAATTAAACTTTGAAATGATTCACTTGATTAGATAAAATTACGAGAAGGAAAAATTTATTACTATCAATTCACCTTGTAGATTTCTTTTAGTCTTTCTTTCTCTTTCTTTATCATCCTTCTCATCATCATCTTCCGTTTCTCTTTGCAATTAACATCCAAATGATCAACTGGATTAACTAGTTAGTTGATTGCGTTCGCAATTCAAACCAACGCCTTTTCACCTTTTTTGGTCTTTTCGTTTAAGGTTCATCATCTTTCCCTTTCTCTCTCTCTCTCTCTCTCTCTCTTCTTTATCATCTTCTTATCATCCGAACATAAAATGGCCGCTTACATGGGTGAGGTCAAAATAGAAGCATATATTAGCTAACATTGGTTCTGACCCTGAGGCTATTATCGAATAGGTGAGAGAGAGAAAAGGTAAGAAGATCATTTTTCTCTCTCTTTAAGTTAAGACAGAAAATTTATCTTCCTCATCATCATGTTCATCATCAGCATCTCTCTCTCTCTCTCTCTCTCTCTCTCTTCTCTCTTCCATTTTCATCATTATTCTTAACGTCTTAAAAGATTGAGAAACGTGACTTAGAATCAATTGTTCAATTTTCTCTGTTAATTTAATCATAAATTCACCTTAATCGTCAACTAAATTCTGGATCAATACTTAATCGTTTAAATAAACAATCAACCATTTAGATTAACAATTATAATGATAATATTTGATCAGCTGAAAGACTTTAACAAAACAACAACAATTAGATCAACAAAGATTATTGGGATTTGTTGAAGGTTTTTCTTTATACTGTTCACATTTTGATTACAATCAATTGATTGTTTACTTTTGACAGTCAATCAACAATTTAGTTTAAAATCATTGATATAATAATTCAGTTCATTTAATATTCTTATAATCAGACAATTTAATCGTCAAGGTTTTTTCCTAATCATGGGAATCAAAACAAACTAATATTGCAACAATTAGCTAATTGTTTGGTTCTTATCGTGATCAATATCACAATTTAACATAATCCAAACTATTACTAACCTTTAATTGTTACCAAATAGCAAATAAATCCAGTTAAATTTTCAATATTTGTATTGATCATTTTTATCAAGTTGATTATAAATTCACTGATCACAATTAACTATTGGGTTGATAATAATTAACGGTGTTTAAACTAACACTTAACCATATCCAACCTAATTGTTAAATAACCTCACCTTTTAATTATTGATTAAGTTAACAGTTAATGATAATAATATTGTTAATCAAAGTTAGCAATTTGTTAATTGTAATATTAACACTGATATTAGGTCAAATCATTGCCTAGAGCAATTTAAATAATCAAAAATAGTATCATGATTAATTAGTTAACCAACAATATTTACAAACAGTAAACAATTAACTCTGGCTCTTTGTAATGATTAAAGGTCAACTAATTAACTTTTACAGGTAAATCATTTGATTGGGTTGTAACCAACATGACAAACAACAATTAACTAACTACTAAAATTATGATTAAAACACAATAGCATTTAAAACAATTAATTAATATTCATTAAGTAGTAATAAAGAAAAACAAAATAATTAATTAATAAATTAGTTGGTTAAAAAATGAAATGAATAAATGATTCTGTTAATTGTTAATCAAAGTAAATTAACAAAAAAAAAGTTAGACACTCAAGGATA